GTATGTCAATATCTAGGAAACTGTATCAAGAATGCAGTAATTAAAAAGCTTTTGCAAATTAATTAAACATTTTCGAAATTCCATTAGATCAATTAATAAAAACAAAAAATGTAATAAAAATTAAAAAAAAAAATATTTGCTTGCAATGACAATTTAAAATATGTCAGCCATAAAATATACGCACACGTCATTATGCTAGTAACTACAGATAAAGAAATAAAGGCAAAATAATTTCAATATTGCAAATAAAATTATTCATATTGCGTTTACAACACAATCAAATATTAAAAACGTAATCAACCGATTTCAAAAGCTTCAAAACTGGATAAAAAGAGACATTGAAATTAATATTTGAGTATTAATAAATAAAAATTTTTTAATAATAATGCAATGTACATTTATTTTCGAGGAAAAAACTATTAAACGCACGAAATCAATGCCCAATTGATTTAATGTGCACCTTAACAAAAATGTAAACAAAATAAGAAATATTAAAAGTTATTCGTTTAATAATAATAGTTGAAAAATAAAACAAAACACAAATTATTATAAAAATTCAATTTATCTCGCCCACAATAATTTCATTTTACTTCAATTAAAGGATTTGTAATCTATCTACATGCAAATTCTTATAGGTACGTGTAACATTAAAGTATGCCAAGACGCTAATTACCATACAATTTTATATTATGTTGTAATATAAGTGCGTGATGACTGGCATGATGTCATATGTGCATGATGTCTAGAAATCTATAGCTATGAAACTGCAAAATGACAATAATAGCAAAATATTTTTAATTTTATTGTGTCTTTATTTTAGCTAAATATGAGCGAACAAATTATGTTTGTTCCATAAAAAATTTTATTTAGTTTTTCTTTTTTGTTAACAATAACGCTGGCAACAAAAAACTTAACTCCTGGTTGAAATAAGTATATCAGAATTGCAACAACAATAACCTGATTGTAGTTTACAACATTATAGATAAAAGTAATAAAATTCCTTATAGACATGAAATTTTGTGAAAATTTTTAAAGATTAATAATATGTAGCCCTCTTTAGTTATTATTTAAATGTTAAAAAAAATTCAAATTTTTCAATTAATTTCAGTATACCTACATAAGTAAAATAATTTCAAATTAAAGACATAGCATGTATACAACAAAAATCTAACTGAATCAATAAGTACTGGCTAGTTTTTTTTTAACTGGTACAAAAATCAGAGAGTAAAAAATTTGGCAAACGTTTCAGTTTGAAAATTTCTTTAAATGTTCATTTGGTTTATATTTACATACATATGTACATATTATGTAGAACCAAATTCATTCAAAATAAACTAAAATTTCCTACTTTCCACAATAGAGAAGAAAAATAATTGCAAAAAAGCAACAAACAATTTCTGGCACGCGACTACAATAAAAAAAAATAAACTAATAATCAAATGTTTTATAACTGATTCTTGTTCTTTAATGTGCCACAGTTTCAAAACATTATTTTTGCTTTTAAACAAAATCTATCTCTTTAATTGACTCAATTTTATGCTTCGCAAATTCATAATGGTTTCTGTTCTAGTAGCCTATTATTGGTTTTTATTTTTGCCTTTACAATGAAATACCAGTTAAAAGTCATATGAATACATACACATATGCCTCAATAAATAACTACATGAGTATGTGCATGCCCACTCCAGTATATTAATATTGTAATATTTCAGTCAAAGTTAACTGATTTTGTCATAAATTTTCACAACGAACAAAAAACAGAAAATTAGACAAGAAAAAAGAAAAGCCCGTAAAAATCCAATTAAAAAGCAAAAAAAAATCAAGCCAGACAATGACAATTTTGATCATTTTGAATTTATTGTTTCGCAATTTATTAAAAAAGTACATATATTTTATTAATCAAAAATATATATGTACATACATATGTATGTAAGTAAATAGCGACAATTTGTTAATTGATTTGATTTAAATTTATGCTATGCCTGTCAGCTAATTTTTTTTTTTGCGATTTATCGCATTTCTTACTAAATAACTATTTGTACTCGTAATATTTTGTTGCAGATGATTTAGTATATAGTAATACACGTTATTTACATATATAAATATGTACATATACTTAATAATCATATGACATACAATATGTGTATGCAATGATATTAGTTTAAACGAAATCTCCATACCGGTTTGTTATCTTTCAGATAAAAATTTTTCATTTGCATTAATTTTTTTCAATTACGTTTTTTATTTGGAGCTTATTTGTTAGTTCAGTATAAAATGTAATGGGAAAAAACATTACATATACTTTTTCTATAATCTAGTTAATGTAGGTATAGGTATGTATTGTACACATATAAGTAAGTAAATAAAGTTATAAAACCTTAAATGCTGTTTTTAAAACAAATATTAAATAGTAGATAAAAATATAAACTAGAAATGTGTTTGTTTATTTGTGAATGATTTTGAAATTAAAATGAGAAAACAAACCTATCTATTTAACTTTGAATACTAATGAGAAAATATCTTACAATACAGTCTGTTTCCTTTATTTGCTCAATTTAATAATTTTAGATGATTTTTTTTTATTTAAGATTTGTTAGCCGTACTTTGAATTAAAAATCTAATTTCACTGTTTCAAAAAACAGGCCCAATTAGAAGTTGTCCACTTAAAAACAATTTTAAAGATTACATACAACAGTACACAGGTAACAAACTTTCATTGTTACAAATATAATAGAAAGAGATAAAAAGATGATTTACTTTCGAGTCTTTAGGTCGGTAATTTACATTTTTTTCTTTTCACTGACTTCAATTTTAAATTTTTAATAAAACCAAAACCATCTTGTACACAATATATTTTGCTACTACCATAATTTAAATTTCAATGAGATTTACTTCAAATAAATATATCAAATATACCAATATTTTTATATTATTTTAAATTTATTTTTCTTCATATTTAGGGCAATTAAATACATAAATAAGAATTTGTCTGCCCTTGAGATTAACACTAATAGGTATAATGAGTACGTCAAAAAAAAAGAAAAGCGAAAATATTGTCTCCCTTTAAAAGCAGACATGAGCCAAATGACAATTTTTAATTAATTTTTTCTTACCTTTATGAAAAAATCTAAATATTTTTCCTTAATTTAAATTATTTTATATTAAATAGTATTTTTTCTTTTCTTGAAATTTTGATTTCGATCCAAATGGTTCGTATTTTTCAAAATATTATGAAAACCAGGGTTTTTCGATTTTTACTATCAAAACAACACACTTAAAAATAAATTCCCAACAAAAAGAAAAAAAAAATGAAAAACTTCAAAATTTAAATATTATTCTCTTGTTTTTTTTTTATCCGAAAATTAATAACTTTTAAATTAACACAATATTATTATTTATTTATTTATTTTTTGAAATTAATTTGCAAAATATTAAACGCAAATTATAGGTAAAATTCAAAATAAAAAAAATTATTTTAATTACATTCGATTCAAGAGATTCTATCAGACAACTTTACTGTCAAAGAAACGTCAATGTCAAACATCAAATAATTTTCATAAGATAATCAGGTTAGCCAACATTATGTGGTTTTTCACTGACATGTCAGTACTTGCAGCGTGCAAATAAATAACAATTTCTTTCAGTTTGAACTTGATTCTTTTTGGGCAATTTTAAATTTTTATTAATAAAGTAAAAAAATAAGTGAAATTAATAATAGAATATAATAGGAAATTGACAATAGGTTATTTTTTTTTCTAAAGAAACAACATTCACAAAATAAAAAAAATAAAATATACGGATAATTAACCAAACTAATTTTCACTACTATTTTTTTGTGATTTAAATAACTTCAAGGAAAACATCTATCACCTTTTAAATTATTTTGCACTTAATCTCGCTCATAATTTACGAAAAAGGAAAAAATATAAAAGCAACAGTCAATTAATATTATTTTCTTAACGTTAACCAAACGAAATGTCAAAATTCATATGGAATGCACTTATCTTAGTGGGAGTGAAAATCTCGCGAAATTACCGCGTCAAATTTAACCGCCGGTGATAAAATAGCTGAAATTCTTTTTTTACCAGTGGCGTTTTTTTTTATATCATGTATTCCTTGTGTTACATTATATGCAAAACACTGAACCAGTTTTTATGCAAAACATTGATTTTCCAATTTAGAGCAACAACGTGTTTTGAGTTAATACTTAACAACGAAAACTGCTCGCCGTTGCCGTTCACCGCAATGATTTTGACTTTACAATTTTGAAATTTTAAAAAACTGCTGTTCTATTTGCGTACATACACTCAATGGCAAAAGTCTACGTACCCTTGCAAAAATATGTCAAAAGTTTAAGTTGTACGTAACAAAAAGATAAGTAACTATATACATATTTTGTATGGATGTATAAATACATACATATTATGTATATAATTAGTTTTTGAACTTGGAGAAATTATAGCCGGTGTTGTCAACCTTTTCTTAGCATATTAAAACTCATATGTACATATGCTTTTGGTTGTCTAGCTTTGTTAAACAATTTAAGTGAGTGTTTGTCAGGCTCAAGTTTGTCGATTTTTTAGAAATACAAACCAATGATCGAAGATAGTATATTACACTGATCGCGTTTTCTTTGAACCGCTCACAGTATGTCGAGTTGATTTAAAAAATTTTCAAAATCAAGACGACACTCATTCAAACGGCACATTTTATAAAAGATATTCATATATACACATGAATATGTTTTAGGCTGTATCCAATGAACTTCAGTTTTTAAAGCCCATTGGTTTCCAATAACGAATGGGGCACTCAAGTATTCAATCGGCGACATGAACGTTTCATTTTAATCAATTTAGTTATCCAAATAAGGAATAAGTTTTGTTATCTGAAATTCTAAACTATTATTACATACCCCCACCTCCATGAAGGACGTTTTACCCAAAGTATATTTTATCCTGATTTTATTTAAAAAAAAATAGTCAATGATATTGATCTCCTACTAAGAATTTTAAATTAAAACTTTCTTATATTAATTATCATTAATAATTGTAAAATTATAAAAAAATTTTACAAGCTTTGTATTCTTTAATCAATTGTTTCCTGTTCACTAACAAGCTGTTGTAATAATTCAGCGTTGATTGGTATTAAAAGAAACTCAGTACCATCTACGTTTCGCTTGCTACGAACCAATTTATGATCTAAAAATTCAGTCAATTGAGCTCTTAATGCTAAATCAGAACTCACCAAAAATGCATCTCGACAAGCATGATACAAATCCTTAAAAGACATCCCTAACATGAATAATTTTTTTTAATATTTATAAAATATTCAAATAATATAAGATACTACCTTGATAATTAGCGGTTTTGCCATGTTTTAATTGATGTTTTACTATTAACATATATATACCACGTGAATTAGTAGTTAAGGATAAAAATACACTGCGCATAGACGACAAAGCCAGTTCATCCGAATTTTGTATCATTAGGGAATTCTCGAAAGCTGTTTCATCTGTGTATGGTAACATAGTTGTTGTATCCCACCATAAAAAGTTATAATTACTTAGCTTTGCACTATCCCAAACTATAAAAGAAAAATAATTCTTTCAATTGCACAAAATATGTATGTATGTAAGTATTTGCATATTTCCTAAAATAATAAATTAAATATGTATATTTAAATCAATTTATACTAAGTATCTACTAGACTTTCATAATTAATAAAAGTTTTACAACTATTTTATTCGGAATGCTGTCTAAGCTTTAATTTAACAAACGAGGATGGTATCTACATATGTATGTATATGAAAAATTTTTGTACTTACGTAAAGGTGCATTGATATGGTCAATGGATGCTATTAAATGAATATTGGATATTTTTGCAAGACGACTTAAAATTTCTTGTGCTTTACAATTTCTCAACATTGGCCCATCGATGTTATGAACAATCAAAAACAAACTCTTTTTTGTCAAATGAGAATATTGTTCTTCTATTAAATCTACAGCTTCATGTGGATTAGTAGGGGAATTTGATATGTCTAAAATATCGGTTACTATTCCATCTAAAATATCTTTTAATGTTAAACTTGGAAAAAAACCATTAATCACAACAACATCTTCTTCAGCAAGCATTTGTTTATGAAAACAATTAAGCAATTTCCTTTTAGAACCAAGCCCGTAACAAATTATATTAAATCCTTCTGACAACATAATTAACCATTTTGTGAAATTGTTTTGATATTCTTTTAGAAGATTTGAAATTGCTTTTTCGTGTGGTGCTGATGTTTCAATTGATTTTAAGATGCTGAAAAGCTGATCGGCAGGTAATTTAGGATTCTTAAGTCTATCTAAAGTATGATTTGAGGTAGTAATTTTTTTACTAGCATGAGCCGTAAAATATTCTTCTGCTTTCGGTACATATTCTTTAGCTAAAAGTCGGTTTGATCTTCGACTACTTGGTGTTTTTGGAAATATAGATGATCCGTGATTAAAATTTCCTTGTACGGTTTTGGTGTGTTTTACTTCCTGGTTAATAGCGTTGTCTTCATCAGATGAGCTGTTATTCTGATTTTCCTCACTTGAACCACTATCTTCCTCTTCCGAGGGAGTGTACTCACTTTCATCAGCAGAAAAGTCATCATCATCTGAAGATTCTTGAAGTTTTTTGGCAATTTCTTTTTTCATTTTATTTCGAACACGGCAAGGTGTTTTAGTTAATAGATCTAAGATTACATTTTTATAATACATTGCAATTTCATTAGAAATACTTAGACGTACCTATTCTTCGGGGACGTTTTGTATCTGTTACTTTCGATGTGCCGGGAGTTTTTGGTGTTCTGGGGGTCTTAGGCGTTTTTGGTGTTTTAGGTGTATTCTTAACAATTTTTTGCAGCCCATCTTTTTTCTTAGGCGTAACAAACCCGTAAATATTCCTACCAGCAACATCAACATCTTCATCGAATAGTTCAACTTCTTTATTTTCATTAAGTTCAAGAAACACAAACTCATTCTCAACTTTTTCTATATCATCGTCTAAATTATTCGTTTCGCAATAATTTATGGTACGTCTTTTTCTGGCACTGCTTCTGATTTCATATTCATTTTCACTATATCGTTTCGGGGGTGATATATTTCTCATTGATCTCCTGCGATTCACAGACGGCTTATCAGGTGTTTCGATTGCTAAGTTTTCCAATGCTTTTAAGCTTGGCGTTAACGGCCGATCAATTGAACTTTTCCGTATGGGAGTCTTATAGGTGCTCTCCTCTGGACGTTTCTTTGGAGTTTTTGGCAAATTTTGCATTTTTAATTTTAAAAATTTAATTGATAATTTAACATTTCTTTAAATTCAAATTCTATTTTTTTCATGGAATATATTCAGGTACGACAATAAAACCAGTCTATATTTAATTTATCCACTTTTCAATTAAATAAATTTAAATTCAGTTTTAGCTGTTTATTGAGCTAAATTTGTTTTCACTTTTTATATTCATCAATAAGACAGCTGTTTGAGCGCAAAAATTTAAGAGCTTGTTCAACCAATGAGTTAAATATATATGGGATTTGTGTATAAATTTTGTTTAATAAGGGTGTGTAGATTGCATTTGATTGAAATAAATATTTTGCTGCATGGTATTTTTATAAAAATTTTAATGAGGAAATAAAAAGGAAATTTTTCGTCCGGACATATGACTTATGCATCAATTATTGACGTGCTATTACGTTTCATTCACCTTACCGACAAAGCTTTTTCAGCAAAATTTTGTTCATTTTTGCATTCGGGTCTACTAGACACTGCTTACATATACAAAATCTAAGATTTCTCTGACAAAATGAAATATCCAAACACTGTTTGGCATCAAACTTTTTACAAAGGCAAATAACAGAAATTACATATCTACTCTATTAGTCTATTCCCATTAAATTTACTTTCAAATTTTTTAAAAGTAAATTGATGACAACTTGGTATAACAAAAATATCAACTTGACATAACAAATAATAGTGATAATAAATTTTTGTTGGAGTTTCTAACAGCAATCAGCTGCATTTTATTTTGACTATAATTCTGATATAAATAAAAAAAACCATTAAATTTTGTCATGAAGTCGGAATAAATTATATTAGATAATTTCAGTGCAGTGCAATTCTCCCCAGATTTTGTCGTAGATTTAATTTAAAACGGTGGATAATTTACGTGACGGAATGCTTTTTTTGTGTTGCTACAAAATTATTTGTATGCGTGGCTACCGTCACTCAAAAATAACGCTCGATCCTGATTAACTAGGTAAATAAGACTATATTTTGTTTTGAATGGAAACTGTACCGCTCAAGATTCCTGTAAACCTGTAAAATCTTGGATTTACAGGAGTTCTAAGACATAAAATCCGTATTGATTTAATAATTCATTTGACATGTAAAATTTAAATTTCTTCAGACTTTTCTAGAGTTTGTTCTTAAAGTAATAAACAAAAAGAATAATACTTTAAGAAAGCTTAAGATTGGAGGCGATGTAAAATTTCGCATTGTTCATTCTTTCCTTTCAAATTAAATAGCCTCCCTTCAAACAAGAGACTCTAAAAAATAAAGTGTCAAAATTATAAATAGGAAATAGTAGGAACAATAACAAAAAAAATTGTCAAAATATCTAAGAATATTTATGAATTTAAAATTGCAAAATAAGGAAAAGATAAAAAAGGTAAACATATATCACAAGGAAAAGATAAAATTTCAACATTATTTCACAAGTTTTTCCTAGCAATTTATTAACTTTTGTATCTCCATACAGATTTTTGTCTCGTTCTTTATTTTTCACTCTTATTCTTTTTTAAAAAGAAAATTTCATTAGAACGAAACCAGACGTTCAATTATTATAGAGTTTAAAGGCCATATATTAACCTTCCATATTTATTGATAAAAGGAAGCGAATACATTCATTCAAGGCAATTTATTCACAAATTTTAAAAGAACTTTGAAGTGGTAAGCTTTTTTATTTTCAGCGATAAAAGACTAAATTTAAAAAATATTCTAGTGTTGCAAACCAGATAATTAAAGCTTATATGAGGCATTTAAAATTTAATCAATTATAATAACTGATATGCGACTACTTCAACCATTATTATTAGGAGCATCATATATTTGTTTATTTCGATCGAAAAGTTTTAGTATACTAGGATCAACTGTTGGTATAGGAACAACGCAAATCAATAAAATGTCAGACTCGACAAAATCTCAGACAGAAAATGAAATTAAATATGAATCTGGTGCAGCTAGTGTTGCTTTTGTTACCACACCAAATGAAAACACAGCAAAGAAACTAGCACATTTATTAGTTGAACAAAAATTAGCTGCATGTGTTAATATTATACCAAATTTAACATCAGTATACGTATGGGAAGGAAAAATTAATGAAGATCAAGAATATTTAGTGATGATAAAAACAAAAACTAGCCGTATCGAAGAATTAACTAAAATGGTAAGAGACAATCACCCATATAGCGTAGCTGAAGTTATAACTTTACCAATAGATAATGGAAATTCACCATATTTGGATTGGGTTTTGAAAAGTGTACCAAATAAAAGTTAATTTTTTTTTATATGAATGTTGAAAATAATATTTTATGCTTTAAAGACTTGAAATTTTAATTTTTGTATAAATTGTAAGGAAAACCCAAGAAAAACTGAATAAGTGAATAAAAATTTTTGATATTGCGCTTTCAAACTTAAACAATAATGTCAAAATTTTATTGGGAATAACAATGAAAGCAGTGTAACAATGATATCAAATTGATTACAATTTTTTGTTAATTTTTTAGGAAAGCTCAATACAGACCGATTTTTACTAAAAAATCCTTTTCAAACCTATTTAAGTGATTTACTTAATTTAAAAATATATACATACATACTTCGCCGGCTACCTAAGTACTGAATATGAAATGGAAAACAAAAAATTCTCCTGGAATTTTAAAAAAATTATCAAAGCCGTTGACCTTTTGTAAAAGTTTTTGCACCATATCTTTTAAAATACTAAACAAATTCGTACTAAATTTAATATGCACTTTGGGTTTAATATGCTCATTTCTTATTGACATAAATAAGCTCTTATCATCAACTTAATTTTCGTCAAAATATTGATTAAACTTAGTAGTTATGTATATTAACTTAGAAATGTTTAGGTTAACTTAGAAATGTAAACGTGTTTACTTTTTTTGGCAAAAAGATATTTATGTAGATTTCTTTTGTAATATTAAAAAGGTTTATCTATTTATTTTAAGAGAACCTTGCTGCTAATAAATAGATTACAATTTACTATCTTTGCAGTTTCAGCAAACTTTAATATGAAAGTTAAATTCGTATCAATAAATAATACATATTTAGTACCCCCTGTTGAAATTTCTATTCAATCTAGTTTGTATAAATTTCTATGAAGTTGACGTAGTAAAATTATAATTTTTTTTTCCTTATAAAAATACCAATTATTCAAATTTCTGTTAGTTTTCAATAACTTTTTAAAATACTTTTATTCTATTGACTAAAAAAATATTATTTTTATAAGAATAGCAGAAACAAAATTTTTCATTTAAATTTGAAAGAATACCTACTTACATACGAGTATAACGAAGGATCCAGCCAATCTAAATTCACAAGTCAAGAAACATTTATGTATGTATGTATGTATGTACATTCTTACTATGTAAGTATGTTTTGTAATATAAGTAGTTATTAACAGTTTTGAATTGATATTGTACTATAATTCATTGCTATTTAATAAAACAAAGTAAGTGTACCACGTAGCTGAAAACTTAAAAAAGCACATTTAATCGATTTTAAGTTTTATGCTCAATTTTTGTCGTATTAAACATATGCATTCATAACGTAAAACTTATTAAATAAATAGCAAATAATCATGTGTGCGTCTCTTTCTAATTCGTTTATGAGATGAGATTTTTCATAAATTTAAAAGAAAAAAAATGTACCGTTATTTGAATAAAATTCTCAAAATGAGTTCGTTTTGTATGTAGTGTCGTGTCGCACTCATGTTAATCAGAAAACTCAAAAAAACTCAAAAATTGAAGTACTCGTAATTAAGTGCAATGGGAAAGTGTTAATTAACATTATTCAATAGTCTGATAAAATGCTTACGGAAGAGTTGACCATTTTAAAAAATTTATGAAAAAAAAATTTAGTGATTTTAGTTTTAATAAAAAATTTTAATATAATTATAAATTAATAACTGTTTTATACGTATTTTTTTCAAATCCATTTGTTAAGTAATATTTTAAATAATTTTGACAAGAAATATACGATATTCTGGTGATTTTTTATTTGGTAAGTTGAAAATTTCAAGTCAATTATTAAAGAATTATAAAGCACTGCACGACATATGCAAAATTCGTATGTAATGTTATAATTTTAATTGAAATAAAGTGAATATGTAGAAATATCCATTTGTAGGTCCCGTAATATTGAAAAAGCAATTTTTTTCGAAAAGAGGTAAAAAGAAGTGTACTCCTCATATGTATATGTAATACTCGTATTGATAGCATAGAAATATTTTAAAGTTTTAAAGTCTAAAAAATTTGGAAAAAGATTGAACCACCAATCAACTATAATTTTAAATGCAATATTAATTTACAAAAGTTTGCTGTAATTTTTATTTTATTTCAAATAAGAATTTATTGAGTTATAACGTGTTTCAGTTTCTGATAAAATTTTAAACTGTAAATTAAAAATTTATATTCTATGACTAAATACTTAGATGGTTAGACTTATTTTGTTCAAATTAAATAATAATTAATTTTACCAAAATTTAGTATATTATTAATTAATTTAAAAATCGACGCAATTCCATTAATGAGGGATTTTGTTTTGCACTTAAATTACGTATATACTTTCTGGTTTGTCTTTAGAGGCGTTTGACTTTGAGTACTTTATAAAACTCAATATGTATATTTGTTTAAGTTGTTGTAACAGTTTTCAAGAGGTCCTCACTAAATTTTATTACCAAATCAATACAATATTTAATTTAATAACAAATTCTGTAATATTTAGCAGCTCAACATCATCTTAATCTTCCACTTTGATGTACCTGTCATATTCGTTGTTCTTAATATTCGCTGTATTAATTCTTATAAAAGCATTATTATCTGTATTTTTATTACTAAAGCATTATGATACGATCGAGTTAGAAAAGGATTTAAAAAGAATTTTGTTAAAATGTACATATATTGTAATTTAACAGATCACTAAAATATATCTTGTGAGCTCAAACTAAAATTTATTCAAATAGATTCAATGTTTTTTTTTATAATCATATCTTATAATTTTCGCTTTTAGATCATTAATATTTAATAGGGTCACCATATTTTGCAAAAAAAAAAATTTGTTTCTAAAAGATCTAATTTTAGAAATAGAAAGTTTTTAAATTACAATTTCAAAAGAAAATATATGTAATAATTTCTCCTGGCCCCACAACAAATTATTATTAATTTAATTAAACTTAATTAAGTAATCGTAAATAATCTATAAATTAAAATGTGATAATTATGAATTTTTATTGTATAAAGAATCACATATCATTTACATTTTTGATTTCATATTAAGATATACTTAATGACAAACATATAATATATGTATGTATGTGTATACATTTTTCAAATACATATGTTCACATTATGGAACTTAAGTTTTCATTGTAAATCTGAGAAATAAATAATATTATCAAAAATATATAGGTTTTGGAACTTGAAATCACAATTAAATGCATAGAACGCTGTTGACATTGAATTTTTTTTTTGTTTTTTCTTGCATATATTTCATTTCATTTGCGAAATAATCGCGAAACTTAATCATCTTGTAAATCTTGTATATGTTTTTGATCAGCGTCGAATTCTGAGTCGATTTAGCTTTGCCTGTCCGTCCGCCCATCCGTTCGTCTGTCCATCGTCAACGATAACTTAAAAACTAACTGAGCTAAATTCAACAATTCTTCACAAATGATTTGTTATAGTAAATACCAGAACCCTATTTAAATTGGATATGATCGTCGTAGTGGTTCGAGTACCTGCCATACAACTTCCAAATTTATTTGGCTACATCTCAGAAACTATAAAAGCTATCTGATATTGAAATTTCACACAAGCGAATATATTAGTAGAGCCAATGTGTTTGATAAAAGTTTTTGAAATTGCTTCGCTTCTTCTGGTGGCTGCCATACAACTTCAAAACTTATTTGGTCATATTTTGGAAAATATTGAAATTATAGTATTAAAATTTTGCATAAATGAATATAGTAATACGGCAACTTAAATTCATAGTTTGTCAGCTATGACATATTTATTCGCACATAGGATAGAAAAATTCGTACGGTTATCACAGAGTTGACACGGTTAACTCTATTTTTTCTCCTTAATATTTTTTTTATAGTTTGTCTTTTCTTTAATATTCAAGATTATTTTTTAATATTTATTTTCAATTTACATTTGTTTACTTAGAATTTAAATATGTATACCGAAATTCGTACATACAATGTATTTCAATTAAAAATAATTTCAGTAATAAATAAACATTAGGTACATACATATTTAAAATTTTCAATTCTTCTGTTGTGTTGGCGGCATAAAACAATATTTAAAATATTAGTACATAATTATTAGCAAAGGAACAGGCAGGTGTGTATATATAGGCAAAGTACAAAAAATATAAGAAAAAGAGTTCAATGATCGCAAGTTATTAAATATTTTTATAAATAAACAAAAGAGAAAACATACTATTTGCATAAATTAAAAAAAAATCATGAATTTACTAATATTAAATCAGTTTTAACAATTTTGAAATATTATAATAATTTTAAAAATTATGTTGAAATTATATGTACATTAAGTTGGTATGATTTAGGCAGAGGCTATGATGGAATATGCAGGTTTAAGATTTGATTATAACTATATCGAATAACAAATTTTGTAAGAATTCTTTATTGCAATCAAAATATTTTAGTACGGCACTATGTAGTAATACAAAATATTAGTAAATAAATTTCTTACGGAGCCAGAATTTCCTCTTGAAACATTGAAAATTGAATAGTTATTATAGTCGTTCCTATGTCATATTCATTTCTAAACATTACTTTCGTATAAATATTATAATTTTAAAATAATTTTAATTATTCCATTTATATGGCAATAATATTACTTTGCATTGCATGCATAATTATTGCACGTGCTTAAAAAGTATGAGTAATAATAATACTGAGAGCTACAAATGAGGAAATTCTAAATGTCGCATACATTTTACGCTCCAATATATAAATTATACATTTATTTTTAAATGCAAAAATTTTACAAAAATTTTTACGTACGACGTAAACCATGAATATAAAAAAATATTTTAGTATATTTATGTGTACGCTGTTAAAAAATTTTCGCCAAATTTTGAAACTAAAAAATTTTAAATGTTTAAAATAAAGCTTTAAAAATACATTTACAATTTCAATCAAATAAGCTGTAATTTTAAAATTTTAATTAAGAAAATTTTTTTCATAAAAATGTTAACAATATGTATGAGCTCATGTATATTGTTTGATTTTAGGTGCCTTTTGGAAAAAAAAAGAACCAAATTTGAATTTAACATAGGTCTAGGTACACAAGCATTCCATTAAGTCATAATTAAAAGCCAAACTATTTCATTATGACAAAATTTAATTATAAATACTTTGGTATTGATAATCGGAATTTTTTTAACTGTGCAAGTCAGAAAAACAAAATTTTGAAATTCTTATTGTAACTTAATTAATTAGTCATATATTTTTTTATAATTATTTAAAACAAACTATAAACGCTAAAGTCACATACATTCTGATTTATTTTTACGACAAAATTTTCCGCGAAAAATTTCACATATTGAATAACAAAATAAAATAATGTAGCGATATATAGGTATCCGGGTGAATTAGTATGTGTATTTTTCACATGGGTTTATGTGTATTTTTCAAATTTTCAAAAAATTCAAGATGTTTTTTTAAGTTGAACTATATTTTGTTACGCCTTTTAATTCTCAGAACATGCGGGATAAAATTTCTATTGAGACATAGCGACATCTATTGATGTTCAATATAAACCACAATAAATAATTTGTTTTTAATAAAAATTATTATGAATTGCATTTAAAATTTATATTTTATTGTAATTTATTTCATTTTAGCTTGTGTTAACTTTAAGGGAGAACTAATTATGGTAGAGCAAAATATGGGTATATGTATGTTATGTATAAATAAAATATTATATAAAAAATTTATTGTATTTCAATGAAGGTTGATTGCACTTTTATTATCGTATATTCAAAAATTCAAATCACGTGCATATTAAATGAAAAAAAAAATATATTTTTTCTTGATTTATTTATTTTAAATTGTCATATAATAGTTATGATGGTTATAAAGCACGTCATATTCTTATAAAAAACAATAATTTCTCTATAAAATATAAAAAAAAATATTAATATATATATAGGTACCTTAAAAAATTCAAAACAAACATTTTTTTTTCCATAAATTTAAGAAATAATTACATATATGTATATAATATTAAATTAAATGAATAATTGACATTTTTTGTAGTTTTTACGAGACTTAATCCATAAACAGCTCAATAAATTTTATTAGTGATAATAAAATATTCGAATATAAATTAATTTAGGATCTAGACAGATTTAAGTTTACAAGGTATAAATAAATTAAATTAAAATATTTAATATGATTTATTTCAGACACTATTTAATATTGTACATATTTCGTTTATTATAATTTTTCCTAATTTTTAATAATCAGCATTCCTTCAAATTTTTATGTTTTTTTTTTGTTTTTGAATTGAATTCTTAAAACATGGGTATATGAATAAAAATTGTCAGAACTAAAAAATGGAATTCTATGAAATTTGATTAACAGAAAGCTTTTTGTCTAAATTTCAAAGATTTCATAATAAAATTGCAAGTTTTTACTAATTAAGATTCAATATTTGAATAATTAATTGAAGGAGTAATTAATTTAGTAATTAATTTAACAGAAAAATATTAAGGAATTTTATTTAAGAAATTAATTCCACAGTTTTTATAGTACTTGGGTCAGGCAAATTGTTCAAAATCATCTATGTTTAATTACTAAAAACCATTATATATAACGGAATATGGAACTGTTATTTAAATTCTAAAAGATATGAGCGTAAAAATGTAAAATGAAAAAAAAGAAATTTTCTTTTTGTATTTAAAGAAAGAAATTAATATTTATATTTGTGAACCAATTTATCAAAATGTTTTAATGGTAAAATTACCATAATTATACAGAATATTAGAAATCTACGCCCATAGTTAATAAACAATTAGCGTAAATAGGAAAAATTTTAGAATACAAATTACATTTAAATTAAATGGACATTCATTTCATAAATTTTCTAAGTATGAACTTATATGAACATTATTTTAAAAGATTTAACTTCTTCATAAATTATAGGTTTCTAGCACTTTTTCAAAATTTCCAAAAATAATTGTATTAGTTCAACTTTGTCCGTACGACCGTCCGCCCTTCTGTTAGAAAACGGAAATTTTATACAGATTTTCTAGAAACTTATTTTTCTAAAAGAAAATTTCTACCGTTCTCGTCCCGTCTTAAAGTTAAAGCGCTTCAAAATTCTCAAAAATGGCATTATTATAACGAAAAATGGCATGCCATAAAAAAATATAATTATTTTTCTTAACTCACATACCTAACCATCGAGTTCGGGCAGTATTTCTAATTTTTTCATCCTAAATGTATGCAAAAATTTGATGTATATATTTTGGGATTTAATGAAAGTAGTAGATTGGGATATAAATGTAGTAGATTGTTTTTAAAGGCTTGTATTTAAAGTATTAATACTTGTTCGAAAGAAAAGTGTTATTTTATTTATTTTATATGATTTCTCTATGGGAAAGACCTAATTTTTTTCTTAAAAAAACAAAATTACAAAGAGTGTTTTTATTTTTTATGATAAATTTATACAATCAAATATTCAAAATTTTTAATGCAAATTTGAAAACAGCCAATTGCTAGTCAATTAAAAATTATAACTGAAAGTTTTGCAGTTGATGACAGGTCTACATATTTCGATTTTTACAACATTTAAAACTTACTTTACTCGGTACTTTAGTTCTCGCATTTTAGTGACAAAATGTTTCGCCAGCTCTAAATAAATTTTAAGATTATGTTATTCAAATTTTGGGTTATAAATTTTTTTTTAGAAATTTAAAGTATTCTTTAAGGTCCTTAATCGAAGTATATATGCAAATCTTGTAGCGATACATAAACATACATAATTTCTTTAATCATTTTTAAATATCGTATTGTAATTGATTCTGTGTAGAATAGAGAATATCCATACTTTTCATTAGCATATTTAATCGAAACGTTGGAATTAATATTATTATTTATTTTTTTTCTGTATAAAATTTAAAGAAAATTCATAATTTTGTATACATAATCTTTAATTATGAGAATAAAATATGCTCTAGTTTCTTTTTAATTTAATTATAATTTTAATAAATAACTGAATTTGCCATTATGTGTGTTTGTACATAATATATACAATGTCTTATGTATTTATTTTCAAATAAATAATCATGAATTTTTCTTCTTTATTAAATTTTCCATAATAATTCTAAATGTATATATACTTGTACATATGTATGAATATTAGTATATGTATAGGTATATAGATCAAATTATATGGTCAATTTTCAATTCTTATAAAATTCTAACTTAATTTTTTTTAATATTTTTCATTTTTAATATTTTTCTATGGAAATTGATGTTTTCTTTAATTTTCTTCTTTTACTATGGTTTATTTAGTTTTTTTCTTTATATACTCGTATAAGTACATATGTATATATAAAAGTATATAGGTGTTAATATTCATTTTTCTTAATAATTGTTATTATAATATTTATACATAGTTATATATTATGGTTTGTATGTTTATTTGCAGCATAATAATTTTAAAGGTAAAAGAAAAACTTAAAAAGTCCGATGAACGTAAAGCTTAATCCTAATAAACAACGGTATGCTTTAAATTATGAATATTAAATAATTTTTTCTCTTCTCTGTTTTATGTGTTACAGTGAAAACTCGAAATTTAATTATGTTAAAATTGATTTAAAAAATATTCAACATTAAATTATAAAAAGCGATAAATACTATATAAAATTTTATTGTTGACGTTAGTAGTTTGGTATTATAAGCGTTTTCATTATTAATTCTTGAAAATCGCCATATGTTGTAATAACAGTTTCAGTTTTAAGTTGGACATATGGTAAGTTCGGGTTAATTTTTCAATTTTATATTGTACAATTATAAAAACTAAAATTGAACCGAATTTTTACCGGGTTCGCCTTCTTATATAATAGAACAAAAAAATTTGAATCAGAAACAATTTAGAAAGAATTTATGTAGTTATAGAATTAGGATCGGAAAACAATTTGTTTAAAATGTAAAATTATTGTTTTGAACTAATTTTGAATTGTAAAAATTAAAATTTATTATATAATAAATATAATATTTTAAAGAAGAATCTGAACCTAAGGATATTTTGCGCCAAGTAATTTTGATTATATGTTTGGTATTTGCATAAGTTAGAAATTCAATAAAAATAAAAAAAAATTAGAGCTTAATGGCTTCAATTATTTTCGTTTTCTATATAGGACAGAGAAAAAGAGAACAAAAATGTAGTTGAAATATATATTAATTAATTAACCAATTTGATGAATTTTCTATTTCGTGTGAATCGGGTATTAAATATGCGCATATGCTCAATAAGAATGTGTTACATTAAGAAGGCTTAGACATATCAAATAAATTCATTATTTAGCCGCTTCTATTAGCGCAATTATAAAGCTGGACTAATAGTTATATATAGAAATATCGTTGGAAGTACTTTAAACCATGTAGCGGGAAAATTATTTTTAACCCTATACGAGTATAATAATTCGTACATGACTTGAATAATATAACAAATTAAATTATATTATATATCTATATATATATAAGTCATATTTTCTCCATAAAGACATAATTCTGTATACAGACTTAAATTCTAATTTAATTCTAGTTCAAAAATATATTCTATTTAATGTGTTCTAACTCAATGAAAATCGCACTTAAAATTTATATCATATTCAAACCACATATGTATAATAATTTAAAAAAAAAATATATTTCTTATTGCACATTTTGAATCTGTATAACAATAATGAAAATGAAAATTATAACAATAATGCATTTTCAAAGAAATTAATATTGAAAATTTATACAACAAATCAATCATAATTTTTTATAGAAGTGAAAAATTATTAATTTCACTGTAACTTAACACACATAATTTGCACACACATTTCTATACGCTACTCAAAGAGAACTTTAATTTTTTTTTTTTTAAATCCGAAAAAAAAAATTAAAAAAAAAAACAAGAAAAAAACAATAAAAATTTAAAAAGTAAATAAAAAAAAATAAATATAAATAAAATGAAAATCAACAGGTAAAAAAGATTCAGAAACTTTTTACTCGCTGATGGTTAAAGACGTGCTCAATATACGCTATCGTAAATTTGTGTACGCCATTCTTATTTGACTGTCAAGTTGAGTAGTGCGTTGAGTGAAAATTTTTTATTTATTTTTTTTTCTTATTTTTTTTTTTAATCACGTTTAATTTTCTTTTTAACTAATATTCAAAATTAAATAAAATGTAATGTGTGAAATTTTAATAGTAAACTAAAAAGAATGCATAATTATAAAAAATAATAAAAATAATAAAAAAAAAGAAATTTAATTAAGACTGTCGTTGGATTGCTATACGGAAAATAATATTAAATAAATAAAATTTTTTTATTTAATTCCAAATTCTAAAGGTAAAATTACATAAATTTTGTGTTTTTATTTAAATATTTAGAAATTTTAAAAAAAAAATACCGCATTGTATGCATACAAATTAAATTTTTTTTATTCAAAAGTTTAGCGTTTTTTTATTGTTTGGAGAATATTATAGTTAGATATAAACGTCAGTCAAATTAATTGTAAATCATAAATGATATTCCATGCAGTACGAGAGTTTTAGGTAGAAATACGAGATTGTGAATAGGTTCAAATAATAGCAATAAATACTATATAGGTTTTTTTTCAGCAATGATTTGCAGGGCAAGCAATCATATAGTTTCGTGAAGTTTTTATAAGAAATACTTTTCGCGTGCGATTACTCTCTAAAATTTAAGAGACAAATTAGTTAAATTTATGCATATATAGAAATTTTTTATATATATGTATTTAAGATTTCATAAAAATTTTTGAATTTTGTAAATTTTTTCATATTTTTAATAATTTTTAAATATAATATATATCTGCATATTTAATATGTGTGCGGATGCATATTCATATATGCCCAAAATATTTGATATTTTAAGGTTTGATAAAAAAGATTTTCCGAACAACTGTTTGTAATTGCTTATAATGTAGTATGCAATTGAGATAGCTTAACTATTATTTACAAATTTGTAATACTGTTATACTGTTATTACAAATTTGTAATGTGTTATTATAATTAATCAATAATTATACCTTGGTATATAAATAGAGAGTCATAATAATTAAAAAAAACACACATTCTTCATAATAATTGGTTAGTTAAACACTAATAATGCTAAAATCACAAAAAACCCCAACGGGTATAATAAAATAAATTAAATAGTTAAGAGATTGTCAAGGAACAAATTTCTTCCTATACTGGCACAATATCAGAACAGCTTTTATTGTATCAAATATTAGTAATACCTATTAAGGCAGTGGTTGAAGTGACATGGGATGGTGCAGTATACCATTTCTATACTTCTAAATAATTTTAAAACCATGTCCCACTATTTCTTATCGAGAAAAAATTTATTCTAGAACGTAATTTGCACTACAGAAATACTTTCTACAAAATGTGAATAAAATTTTCCAATTATCTTTTATAAAGATAACAAATACAGAAATTCTTTATTATTATTATCATAGCCATATTTTTATAGTTGTAAAGACTTTATTTCGGAAAAAATATTTCAAAAGAAATTCAAATTCGAATTAAAACATATAGTAAACATCAAACGGCGACAGTACATCAAACGAGTCTATTATTTTAAAAACCTTTGATCCCTGGACAGAAGCACAAATTGCATGCAATAAGCTATAGGAACATAGAAATGGCTAAAATCAGTTTAATTTCACTTATGTTTCCTTAACCATTCCACCACTTTTAATCTGTACACCTTCGACTACTGCCTATAGAATATTGTTTGAAATGGAAAAAAAATTTATATTGAAAATTTATAATAATACCTTATATGTAGATTATCTATATAAAATATTATAAATTTAATATTAATATATATAAGTATATGTACATATACATATATTATATTGAGTATATAGAAAAAAATAGTAAACAAGAAATTTTCTTTACTATTATATTAGAAAAGCTTCTAAAATTTATTTGTGTTTTGATTTTAAATATGAAATAAAAGAAAAAAATATAGACTGCGATAACTATTTGAACTTTCAATCATACAGAAATATTACAAATTATATACATATAATTTCAGTAATTCTAAGTTTTATTATTGTATAAATAATTAGTCAGAACTGATTTATTGACATTGTGAGAATCAAATAAAATATTTGTGTTTAATTTTATTTATATTTATGTTATATTTGCCATAATTCTAAAATATATAAATTAATATTATATAGTAGGTTATTGTAGATTAATGTAGGACTATATGAGTATGCTAGTAAAATTTTATTAATAAATAAAATATTAAAATTCATTATCAATTTTTAAAACAATAATTTTCAAGAAAAAATAAATATTTATTAATTGTTTGCTGTTAATTTCTATAGTAATCATAAAATGATTTCATAATTATTTATTTATATGAAAACTCTATATATGTAGGTATTTAAATAGTGATTACATTCTTGTTGCAAATAAATATTTTGCGGGAAAATTTTAGATTATTATTTTTAATTTTACGTGCGACATTTGATCTAAATTTAAGACTCCTAGTTTAAAATTTTGTTTCTAAGAACATATTTGATTTTCTTGTACTTTAAAATAAAATTAAATTAAATTTACAAATATATGTACATATATATGTATATGCAAATGTAACATAGTTTGAAGTAAATGATACCAGAAAAGCACGTGATAAAAAAACTCAAAATAAAAAATAATTTATTTTTAAAATAAAATACGGTGTTTGTTTGTGAATTCTTAATTTAAACTTTATATTAAATTATCTGTGTCGATATATATATATATACACAATATATGTGTATATGTATAATAGTAATTCGCAATGTACATAAAACATGTAAAACATAACGCGTTAACATTGTAACAATTAACCTTAAAAATGCTAATTATTTTCATTTATAAATAAATAAATAATTTATAGAAATTTTTTAATCCATTTCTAGTGAAATCAAGTTTTCGTATAGTAAAATTAGTACATTTGTATAATTAAAGTTAATTATTGCAATGACTACTGTAATAATAATTTACGATTTATTCAATATTCGAATGATATTATATTTATAATTAATAAAAATAATTTAATTATGTAGATATGTAGATAAATTTCAAATTTTTAATAAGTTCCGAATTATGAATCAATTAATCAAATTAGAATATAGGGCGAAACTCTTATATTATAAATATAGAATCAAAAAAAGTGGAATATATTAATTATGATATTATATATTCTATGTTCTATATAGCATATAGTACATATGCATTAATGCATATAGTATATAATATATTCTATTTAGTATATAGAATTAATATATTCTATATTGTTACGGTAGGCTCGTCACCTATACTTAGTAAATTCAATGACGTATGAAACTGGTTCATGATCATGTAGAATATCACCCAACAGCCCTATGATTTTCCAAGGAGCGATGTAGCATAGAAAAAAATATATAGTAAAATTTCTTAAAATTTAAAAATCTCATGAATCTTTTCTCAAGATTTTTTTTAGATTTGGTCATCTATATAGTAGTTTAATTTTAAAACATTCATCTTATTTTAACATTTATTTTTTATGATCAGTCAATTATTTATTTAATTCTTGGTCCCTTTTAATAAATTTTAGGCTCCTTTTTTGGAATCGGCCTTCTAAAACCAAAATTTCTACCATACTTTTGTGGTAATTTTCAGGTTTTGTAGTGTAATATTTATAATCTAACGTAAGCATATAAGTAGTTGAAGAAAAACATTGCGAAAATCATTTTATGGCAAAATGATCATAAAGTATATTATATAACATTGATTTCGGAATATTATGTTGAAAGGAAAATATGCAAATTTTAATTATATAAAAGCATTAATCTCACATTTACTTATACAAATTTTAAATTAAGGATGATACAATAACATTTTTTAGACACTTACAATACCAATATGAATGCCATATGACATTCAGGTTGGAAGGTTGATTATATCACATTTTGCCTTTCATGTTATACTAAAACTTAATACACACCTGGTAAATTTCAATACATTTATAATTTATTCGATATTTAATAATATTTGGCATTTTTTGTTTTACTCAAGAAAAAAAACCTGTTTTTAGAAAGCATTAAATAATCAAATAAAAATTTTAAATTTTTATTAATAATATAATTAAAACAGAATATTAAAAAAATAATTTTAGATTGGGAGACTTTTTTTTTGGTTATACACGTTTTTTAATTAAATGCATTTTTTTAGTGATTTCTACATTTTAATTTTAATAGTTTTTATTGCATATTTTTTAAAATGTGCACTCTTTAATTGATATAGGGTTGCTTGTTGCTAGAAGGTATAAATTTAGAAGTAAATTTGAACATTTTTAGTTGAATTATATCAGTTAAGTTTCTATTCTGAATGTGCTTAATGACGGTCGAATTTTTACATTCTTTATATACATATATTCATATATAGAACAATGTTTAGTTTTCAACTGCTGTGTGATTTGTTTGTATTGCATTACGAATGCTTTCTACATATTAGTGGTTCTTATATATTAATTTTTGGCCTTGTAGATTGTGGGTTGCAAAGACAAGAGTCTACAACAATCCCCTCGACACCCATCCTCTTGATGAATTCGAGTAACTTTGAAGGCCCGACAATCTTTAATCTTAGTGTCTATTATAGTAAGAAAAAAAATGAAGCGTTTTCATTACTATATCCTTCTTTTAATATTCTTGTTTCCACAATGCAACTGTTATACATTTAATTAAATAGAAATAACAATAATATAAAATTTTATTAATTTATATTATTTGTTTTTTATTATTAGTGTTGATTTACGTTTTTAAAATAAAAATTAAATTTGTCAAAGCAATAAAATATTTAACAAGGCTAGTGCTTTTTTTTCCATTTTATTAAAAAAAAAATTTATAAAAACAAATACAAAACTTTATTATTAATATCGTATTTATTATTCTATAACCGCAAAATTCAAAGTTATAAAAAAAATATTTTTTTATTATTGTTAATTTTAAATTCACCATCAAAATCAAACGTATTGAATTTCTTCAATGAAAGCAGTCAAATAATGATTTTATACGTTAAATTTTTTATTAAAATATGAAAAACAAAAAAATATTTTGATAAAAGCTCCTAATGTTTATGTACATTTGTACATACATATATACATACTTATTAATTAATTTAATCGGTTCTATTTAATAATTTCAGTGCAAATTTTTTATGGGGAATAACTTGTACAACATTAAATAGAAAATATAAAAAATTCAATATGTCAAGGAGATTTGCAAGCAAAATAATGATTAAAAAAAAATATAATTAATTAGTACTCATAATATTTTAACTAATTCGGAAGAAAAGTAATTTATCAATGAGATTTTTTGTTACTTGACAATGGACAGCTTAGTATTTTCTTATTTGTCTCTTGTTTTTTTGGTTTTGGTCTTACCTGTACTAATATTTCGTAGTATTCCTTATTTAATTTTTAATTTTATGTTTAGTTTTATTGAATGTAGTTGTACTTTACGTTAAAATAAAGTTGTGTCAAATCAGTGGTTTGTAGAGTAGCACATTTTCCTTCAATAATTGAAAATATTGCTTTTAAAAACAATCGTTATTAAAAATAATTTCATTCATGTACTTGGAAATATTTCCAAGTTTGCATACATTTAGGATGAGCAATTTATGCAATCTTTAAAATAAAACAAAAAAAATATTTAAATATTTAAATATTTAATAAATGTTTCTAACTTTTTAAGGGTAAATCGCCTAAGTTAAGGAAAGTAATTATATTTTTTAGTGGCATGGAATTTATCGTTATAAAATTATCCTTAAATTGGGAAAACCTTACGGTTTCGAAAATATAAGTTGCCAAAAACTCAAAATTTGGAAATTTCATTTAACGAAATAAATTGTTTACTAATATCTAAAAGCTGCTAAAATTTCAGATTGCTACAACTTATAGTAGATAACGGTTAATATTAGCAGCCATTTTGCTTTTTTAATATTTAATTATGTTGTGCCGCGGTAGAAGAAGCCCGATTCTATTTTTTTGTAAAACGATTTGTAAAACGTTTATGGTGTTTTTAAAACAAATGGTGAAAAAATGGCATTTGAAGGCCTTTTGGGGGGCTAGAGGGGAGGAGATAGGTAAAAATTTTCTTCCACGCAAATAAGTTTCTAGTAAAGATCTATGTAAAATTTCAGCTTTCTATCTTCAAGGGTGTAGAAATTTTGTGAACGCATGCACGGACGGACGAACGGATGGAAACAGAGCATCTAATAAGCACATTCTTTTTTTAATTTTTTTTCAAAAGTCCTAAAAATTTTAAGTGCATAACGCATAAACCTAATTTTTGACGGAAATCTAAATTATTCGGAGTTTCCAGTTGTAGTAATTGGGAAATAAGTTCAGTTTACGTTGGACCTACAGCATGATAAAATGAAATTTAACAAAATTTTACTTAAAAATCAAAAAAATTTTTGTATTATTTTGCTTTTTTTCAATCACTTAAGTACGTCATTCAAAAACTTTTATTATTGGAAATTTTTGGGTTTTTTGTTATTAATTAAAATACAAAATTTTAACATATTTCATAACTGGTTTAATAATAATAAAATGTTTTTTTTATTCTTTATTATTTTCTGTAAATTTATTTTAGAGATTCTTTATTTTACAACTTCAATGTTAATTAAATGATTACATTTAAATTTATGAATCTCTTTCAATTTGAAAATTACATTAGAGGGAAGATTCGAAAAGATCGAAATGTGTGAATGAACAATGTGTGAATTTATGTCTCAATTGCTAGTCAATTTATGTCTCAATCTAAGCGTTATCCGATATCATCTGCGTTCATAAGTAAATGCAAATTTAATGTCAACTATTGATTTTGCAATTGAAATCACTCGAAATAATGACCATGATTTTGTTATATAAATTAATATATATTAACTTTCAAATAATGACCTAAAAAAATTCACTATTTTCAGACGTCGGTTAATGTATTCTCTCCTGATATTTTGATCAATATGTTTCAGTCCTCAGAAATGGTTATGCGATCTTGTTTTGTAATTTTATTTATGGTATTAAATTTCACTTTACAAGCATTTCTTTAAATTTAGACACAATGTTGTCTAAGATTAAATATGAAAATTACTTACCTTTACTTTCAAAGTCTAACACTCCTACAAAAATATTCCTGCACTTTGAGCTAGACTGAGTTTTTTTTTTACCGAAAATTGCTACATTTTCTCTTAAATCGTTTTTACTATAACTTTTTTGTAATTGTTAAAGGTGAAAATTTTTTAACAACGCGAACAAGTAAAGGACACCCTCAGTCAAACCCAATAAGATTAAAACCGCCACCGAGACCTTTGCGGCAAATTTCCTTATATTTCACTAGGTATTTTAATGCAAAAGTTATGGTAAAGATGGGTTTAGGTAGCAGAGGTAGACCCACCCACCGAAATTTTGTTTTAATTTATTATTTCTAGAAACTTTTGTAACATCTTCCATTTAACTTTCAAAGACAAAGACATTTTCAGGATGGCAAGTATGGTAAGAAAAAAAAAATTAAGTTGCCTTTGTCCTTAATGAGTCCTTATGAAACTTTGTAAATGAGTCCTCTTCTACGCTGAGTTATTAGAGTTTTAAATATTTCGTTAACAAGAAAAGAAAAACATCATCAATAAGATTCAATAGAAGTTAATATAAGGGTACTCAATAAAGTAAAGTCTTAAAGTAAAGTTGCGATAGTACTTTACATTCCATAATCTGAGTTCTTACTTCCATAAAATACTTAATCTTTTAATAATTTGTTAAAAAGATGACAACTTAATTTTAGTAAAGTTATGGGCAAAAACAAAATTTTCAATTGATAGGCAAAAAAAAAAAAATTATAGAAATTTTAAAAATTTATGCTTGTCCTTTAGAACACTAACCGAACTTAAGGGTTAAGTTTATTATAATTTTTGTAAAACTATAAATAAAAATAATTAAACAAAGATGTAAAATATAGGGCAAGAAGTTAACACCGACCGCATCTTGTCTATTATCTTACATACAAGGAATAAATAATGGTTAATAATTAAACCAATGGTTAATAATCATTACATAATTATTTCTGAATGCCAAATTAATAACAATGTCAACAACATACATGCATACATACACACAAAATTATAAGTACTTTTTAATGTTTTTTCGTTCTTAATTATTATTAATAAAACATGTTACTATTATTTAAATTAAATATTATTTTATTAACATTCTCCTAGCTGCGTACATATACAATACATACATGCATAATAATATACAATAAAAATATTTTACATGAATTCAATGAAGCTTTAAATGAATATTACAAAATAAAAGAAGTATAGAAAAAAAAATCCATTATATTTTACATATTAATTTAATTTTTATAAAATTTAACATAGAAAATTCTTCAAGCGAATAGTTATGATGTTACTTTGTATTTATAAATAACGTAATTGAAAAAAAAGAAACGAAATAGAAATAAAAAAAAATAGCATGGTTAAAAAGAAAATCGACCAGGTATTTTCAAGGTGTTCCAAGTTGAAACACAACAGTTGCATGCGATTAATATTTTACCTCTACAATTTTTGTTTTTTTTTTACCTGTTTTTTTTTCTCTTTTATTGCATGCGATATTTTTGATTATGATTTTGCGAGTATCAGCTAGTAATCTACAATTTAATTATAATTGTAAAAAAATTCTTTTGAAATTCTTCACACTTATAATTAAATATTTTAAAAATTCTAATTGGAAAAAAGGGTTAAACAATTTCATATAGTTTGCATACTATATAAAGGTTGCAGAAAACATAAATGTATACACGCGTATATGCTCCTTTATCGCTGAGTATAGATATACGAGTAAATAAGGTTTGTTAGCTATTAAATGGGATGGTATTTGATAAAAACAAAAATTAATTATATATTGCACTTTATATACGTTTAATATGTTCCGTCCGCTAAACAAGGTCGTATTTAACATAAATTAGAAAAAAGAAATGTGAATAAAATTAATGAACAACTACACTTATATACAAATAACTTGTGTATACAAGTAGAATTTTGCAAAAACTCGATCTCCTCAAAGTTTAAATTTTTCGGTATGCGAATTTAAAAATTTTAAAATAAAATCTTAAGTACTTAATATTGACTTTCTACTCATTTTATTTGGTCAATAAGAAGATTTTAAATTAGTCTCGGAGGGTATTTATACACAATTACGATTTGTTAGTTTGCGGCTCATAATAAATACATAGTTATAGTTACGCTTTATTAGTTCCACTTATTAATAAATAAAATTGCCAAAAATAGAGTGATCAGGTTTAATTCTTAAATTATAATATTAAAATATTTCATCATTAACTAAAATTCATAATTAAATTTAGTGACGATATTTTGCTATGAAAATTATATTCAGTCAAGAATGTACATAATTCGAATCAATTTTTTTTTTATCGAATATGTATTATGAAATTTGAATTAAAGTATAAAAGTAATTGAAGATTTTTGAAAAACCTTAAAATATATCATAAATAAATAGAAGATTAAAATTTATATTAAATAATATGCCGACAGTATGTTACAATAAAACAGTGTCCGTATACATGATGCTTTATTGCGTGATTTCGTTCATTGCATCCGGATTTAACAAATTATTTGTATATAACAGTTAGTAAATTCGTAGGTTTTATAAAAACATTCAAAAAATATATTAGACCTTATAAACTATTCATACTTTTATAGTATTGGAGCAGAGCATTAATTTTCCGAATTTTACAAATAAGTAATTGGTTAAGAATGAAATGCAAGTTTCACTGAATGTTGCCACTTTTTATGTGTTTTGTACTACGAATTTATGTATAAAATGAGTTTTTGTGTCTATGATTGGTTTCAAGTGTTTATTCCGGGTTCTGCATATACATATATATACAAGCCCACAAAATATACATTGCTTATTGCATTTGCACAACAACTCCACAAAATTCATTCACATTAATCATCAAAAATTATAATGAAAAATGTGTTTCTCTCCTTGTCTCTTCACGCACTTCAACTAATATTTTTATATTCTCTACTTTTATAAAATTTATATATCATTTAATTTTTGATTTATTTGTTAAAATAATAATTATAATTTTTTTGTATTGGAATTCAATGATTTCTATTTTAATAAATTATTCAAATTTTTTATTTTAGGTTCATCAAAAGAACAAACAAAACAAAAAACGATAATTACAAGATGAGGAAAAATCAATTGTTATTAATGCTGCTGGTCAGTTTTTTTACATTTTTGAATTTTGTTTCATCTTCTGCATTACCATCAGCACAAAATGACGAATCAGTTCAAGTAAGGACATCATCAGTTTATGATTATTTTAGATTACCACGTGCTATTAAACCAGAATTATATCGACTTGAAATTATTACACATTTGAATGATAAAGAAGGATTTGAATTTAATGGAAAAGTTTATATTGATTTAAACATAGTGGAAGATACAAATAATATAACATTACATTCAAGTAATTTAACTATTGATCAAAATTTGGTAAGAATTACAAGAAAATCATCATCAGATATTGAAAATGAAGAAATGAATAATGAATCAAATTCAAATAAAATTGATATTAAATCAATTGATATTAATTTAAGTCATGATTTTTATATTATACATTTGACTGAAACTTTAAAAAAAGATGAAAAATATCAATTGTTAATGCCATTTAAAGCGAATTTAAGTAAAAATTTATATGGTTATTATCGAAGCAGTTATTTTGATCATAAAACAAATCAAAGAGTGTAAGTTTTAAAAAAAAAAAAAAATTAAAATTTAATTTCAGAAAAAAAAAAATATTTTATTTAAATTGATGTAGTTGTAAAATGAAACTTTCATTTCATTATTTTTATTTTTAATAATTTTTCTTATTATTTTTATAAAGATGGTTATCGACAACACAATTTGAACCAACCCACGCCCGTACAGCATTCCCATGTTTTGATGAACCAGATATGAAAGCGAAATTTAAAATTTTACTTGCACATGATAAAAAATATACAGCAATCAGCAATATGCCATTACAAAATCAAAAAGAGATGTAAGTCAATAAATTTTAATTCATTTACATACACACATATATCTACAATACATACGCATGGCAACAATTTTTAAATACATGATGAAATCTTGATAAGTAGTATATTGCATTTCACTTCAATTGTTAAGTATATGTATGTATGTGCATATAAAAAAAAAATTAATTAAGTGAATATTATTTCATAAGTTTGAAAATTATTTTTCAATGTTGTACATAAGAGGATTAAAATAATAGCCATACTTTTATATATTAAGTGTAATGCAACAACTTTCATTTAAAAACGTGAAACGAGAAAGAATAGAGTTGATCGTGTCAACTCTCTGATACCCATACGAATTTGTTATCCTATGTGCGAATAAATATGCCACAGCTGACTATGGGACAGGCTATGACTTTAAGTTGCCATATTACCTTATTAATTTATGCAAAATTTCATTACAGTGTTGTCACTATTTTCTAAAATATCGTCAAACTACTATTGAAGTTGTATGACAGCTACGAGAAAAATCCAAGCAATTTCAACGAATTTTATTTAACACATTGGGCCTGAATAACATATAGTATGTTCACTTGTGTTAAATTCCAATATCACAGCTTTTATAGTTTCTGAGATATAGCCAAATAACTTTTGAAGTTGTGTGGCAGCTACCACAAGCAGCCAAGCAATTTCAACGACGTTTATCAAACACATTGGACCTCCTTATATATTTGCTTGTGTGAAATTTCAGTACCAAAGCTTCATAGTTTCTAAGATATAGTCAAATAAATTTTGAAGTTGTTTGGCAGCTACCCGAACCAGTACCCCGATCATATCCAATTTAAATGGGGTTCTGGCATTTACTATAATAAACAATTTGTGAAAATTTGGTCAACTTAGCTCAATTAGTTTTTGATCATTGGGATGGACGGACGGACAGACAAAGCTAAATCGACTCAGAATTCGATGCTGATCAAAAACATACGCTTGAGTCTATATCTCAGACCGTTATTTCTTAGCTTTACAAACGGTAAGGCAAATTTAGTATACCCTTCGAACATACGTTCGTACGGGTATAATAATGGGAAATTCATGTACATACAATAACAGCATATACATACATACTGCATATATTGTGCATACGCATCAATATACAAACATAGTAGATATAACAAACATAATATAGCTAGTGTATGCATTTGTTAAATTTATTTATTTCATAAAATATTTAACGATAATTCCATTTTTAGGACAGATATAAAAGGATGGGTTTGGGATGAATTTGAAGAATCAGTTCCAATGTCAACATATTTAGTTGCATACACTATAAATGATTTCGGTTATAAAGATTCACCAATGGAAAAACTTGTTGAAAATAATGACAAACATGGTAATGTAACATTCCGTACATGGGCACGTAAAAATGCTTTAGATCAAGCTGAATATGCTGCTGAAATTGGACCAAAAATTTTACGTTATTATGAAGAATATTTTGATATTAAATTTCCATTACCAAAGATGGATGAAATTGCAATACCAGATTTTTCAGCAGGTGCTATGGAAAATTGGGGTCTTATAACATATAGAGAAACAGCTTTACTTTATTCTAAAAATCAATCAACACTTTCAAATAAATATCGTGTTGCATCAGTAATAGCACATGAATTAGCACATCAATGGTTCGGTAATTTAGTAACAATGAAATGGTGGACAGATTTATGGTTAAATGAAGGTTTTGCAACATATATTGCTAGTTTAGGTGTAGAATATGTTCATCCGGAATGGAATAGTTTAAAAGAGGAATCAAGTTCAAATATATTTGATATATTCCGTGTTGATGCATTAAAAACGAGTCATCCAATTTCAACAGAAATTAAAGAAGCACATAAAATATCACAAATTTTTGATGCAATTTCATATAGTAAAGGATCATGTGCTATTCGTATGATGCATTTGTTCTTAGGTGAAGAAACATTTAAAAAAGGTGTTTCAAATTATTTAAAAAAATTCCAATATAAAAACGCTCAACAAGACGACCTTTGGGAATCCTTAACCGAAATTGGACACAATTTAAAAACATTGCCAATTGAACAAAATATTAAAAGAATTATGGATTCATGGACATTACAAGCTGGTTATCCAATTGTAAAAGTTGTAAGAGATTATAAAACTGGTGGAGCTTATATTACACAATCTAGATATTTATTAGATACATATGCATCTAGGGATAATCTTGGAAATTGTTGGTATGTTCCATTAAGTTATACAACAGAAAGTGAAGGTGATTTTGATATTACACATCCACAAGAATGGTTAACCTGTAATGAAGAAACAAAAGACGTAATTCCATTAACCAAAGATTTTATTGCAAATCCCAATGAATGGGTTATATTTAATATTCAAGTATCTGGATTGTATAAAGTGAAATATGACGAGAAAAATTGGAATATGATTATTGAAACTTTAATGAGTGATAATTATAAAAAAATTCATTTAATAAATCGAGCTCAATTAATTGACGATGCGCTTGATTTAGCTTGGACTGGTGAACAAGATTATAATATTGCTATGCGAATTATTGAATATTTAAGACGAGAAAAAGAGTACATTCCATGGAAAATCGCTTTAGATAATTTAAATTTAGTTAATAGAATCATGAAAAAAACATCTGAGTATGAAAATTTCAAGGTATGATTTAAAAAAATTATATTTTACTAAATATTTTTAAATTAATGATCATTTTTTTCTCTTTAGCTTTACATTAAAAAAGTTTTAGAACCAATTTATGAACATCTTGAAGGTATGAATACATCAGCTATTCGTTCCACTGACGATAATGATCTTGAAAGACAACGTCATAAAGTTTTAATAGCTGGTTGGTCATGTAAATTTGAAGTTGGCGATTGTATTCCCAGAGCAAAAGAATACTTTAGAGAATGGTTTATACAAGAAAATCCTGATGAATATAATCCAATTCCATTAGAGTTACGTTCTGTTGTTTACTGTACAGCCGTTAGACACGGAAATGAAAATGAATGGAACTTCTTATGGAAGAGATATAAAAAATCCAATGTTGCATCAGAAAAAACATCTATTTTAGTATCATTAGGATGTTCACGTGAAGTATGGGTATTACAACGTTACTTGGATTGGTCATTTAATGAAACTACAGGGATCCGAAAACAAGATGTTTCAACAGTATTTGGTGCAATTGCTCGATCAGACATTGGTTATCATTTGGCTAAAGAATTTCTATTTCTTAATTTCGAAAAAATATATAAATAGTAAGGAATTTATAAAATTAATAAAATAATAAAATAATAAATTTTCTTTATATATCCACAATTAATATTCTAACAAGTCGATTCGACATTGAACAGGTGATAATGTCGATTCGTCCTTGAATATTACAAAACTACTCTAAAAATTTTGTCATAAAACATCCCTAACATTGATACAATAAATTTTTAACGCAAAATATTTTTTTTTTGTTTTAGCTTTGCTCCAGAAACTTCAAGACTGAGCAGATTTATTCGACCAATTGCTAATCAAATGTCAACTGATACCGAATTAGAATTAATGAAATCATTTACATCAAGAAATCGAGCATACTTAGAAAAATCCTCAGAAGGCGTTAAAAGGTAATAATTTTTATTTTAATTTTTATATTCAGTATTTAAGTTTTAAATAATTTTTTTTACTTTTAGGGCCTTGGAAATAATTGAAATTAACGCTCAATGGAAAACTAGAAATTTCGGTGAAATAAATAATGAACTCAAAAAATTAGTTGGACCAGATGATCATTAGATTTATAGGACAATCAAAGAAAAAGATTCCTTATATAGTAGATATTAAGTGGACTTTCAACATTAAAATAATACTTTTAGATTTTTAATTTTTATAAATGTAAAATTTTAAAATAAATATTAAAATATTGTATTATTAACATTAAAGGAAAAAAAAAGAAAGAAAAACCATTATAAATGTGAAAAAAATTCTGGCTTTCATTACCAGAATTAAAAATAATTCTGCAATCTAATTTATGGTTACAAACAACGTAGACAAAAAGAACTTCATTTTATATTAGATTAGAGACGAAATTCTAATGATACTATAATTATAATTAGGAAAATGTATTATGAAAAAGGAAAAACCGTTAAAATAAAAAATTAAAATAAGACTTAATGTTAGAAGGGTGTAGTAATTAGTATTTGAAATCCTTGATGGTGTATAAAATATCAATTTGTAGCGATATATACTTAAAATACATTACGCATCTCCATTTGGAGTTCTCCATGTGGGATTTGACTGAAAAACTTACTATATTCAGGCGTTTCTTAAAAAGTTTGAAGAACAACTTTTTGGAAAATTGATGAAACGGTGGAGAGAAGGACATAAAGCCTCTGTAATGTTATTATTCGAATACTAACAATTAAAATGCATTTTCTTTTTTTCAATTTTTCTTCATTTTTTTTTTATTATTTTTTCTTTTGTTTTGTCTATAATCATGTATACATACATACATATACATACATATGCACATATACATTTTTTAATAATTTTACAATATGTATGTACATATAATAAATAATTAAATAATATAATAATGATTTCATTTTATAATTTTAATTTTTTGTATGTTTTGTATTCTATTAATAACTAAAAATTACTAAAATATTTTTTTTATTTTATTTCTTTTTTAATAATATTTTGTTCTCTACGTTTTTTTTGTTCTTTGCTTTTAATCTAAATTATTTATGTAATTTTTTGGGTTTTTCAAAAATGTGAGAATGCTTTTTTTGGGTATTTTAACGTAAATTAAATTAATTATTTTAATTTATGCCATAAAAACAACAATAATATAGATAATTTAATTTTTGCATTCATTTTCAAATCATTAATTTTCTTTTTCATATTTTAAAAGTAAATATATACCTAATTAATATTTAATTGAGATTTGAAAATTAAATGTTCATGTACAATGTTATAGTTTTTTTTATAATATGCATAATTTCGAACTATATTTTTCAGTTTAAGAGATTTTTAATTTCAGTACAATATTATTTTAATATTTTTATACAAACCAAAAATTTAAACTTCTAATTAAAAAACATATCTAAAGTAAGCTTTATTTAAAATAAAGAACTAAATATTTTTCGTACTTATTGAAAAATAACAGACTAAATGTAAATGTAAGAAAATTAAATCTTTATAACCTTGGATTACATTACAAATAGCTCTACCCTGTCTACATACTAGTTATTAAAGATGCATAATTTTTAAATATGATTTACTAATAAATATACGTATGTAAGATTTATGAATAAATCATATTGAAATACTAATGAAATTATGTATGTATATCAATTACTAAGTATTTTGACCTTTTGATTACATGCACGTTTGTGATTTGGGTAAGTAATTTTTTATTTATACATATGTATTTTGAGTTAAAGAAACAAAAATATTGTATAAAAGAATTTTCTAAAAAAAATTTTTATGTTATAAAATAATTTTATTTTGAAATGAAAAAAAATAATTTTAACTATAATGTCCCGTAAACGTTTTAGGCTTTAAATAAGATGAGTAAAAATTGGGATAGTGTTCATTCAAATAAATAATTTAATTGTCTAAATTTAAATTAATAATCGTTTACATGAAATTGAATTTATGAATAATACAATGTATTTATTTCATTTTTTTAAAATCAATATGATAGTTTTAATTAATTTTTATATTCATATTTATTTTAAATATTTTGAATTTTTTTTTAAATATAAATTTTTAATTTTTATTATTTTTAATAATTAATAATATTATTCAATAACTAATTATACACTATATAAATAATATAAACAAATAATTTTTATATAATTTGGGGACTAAGTGTATAACAAATTTCGTATATAAAAAATACGTATATGTATATATAAATTATGTATTGCAATATTTTTTTGTCCGAAATTTTAATTTAATTGAAAAAATTTTATAGCTATATAATGAAAATAATGAAAGTATTTATAATATTATTTATTTTTAAGTAGGGGGTTTTCGTTTACGTACGCTGCGCTGAATGTTCTACATTGGAACTAAAAATTTCTAAGTCGCACATAAGTTAAATAGTATACAAAAACTTTAGCTAAGTTTTCTTTGTTTACGCAGTCTACAAATTCAAAAACACTTCTAAATAATCAATTGTTCTAAAATAACAGAGATGTCATTGTTTATGAAATTGTATCCTAATAATTTTCGTCTTCCAATTCACAGCAAAACAAGGAAATTTGAACAAGATTTAAAGACTTAAAGAAAACTTACTTTAATAACCCTTCAACATCTGAATCAGCTATTTTGAAATTTAAAATTTTTTTTTTGAATTTTAAATTTTGAAAAAAAAAAGGAATTTCATGAGACAGTTACATTTCTAACAGATTCTTTAGTACAGATTGAATTTCCGAACGCATTTTATTACAGCCATAGTTATTTCCGATTGATTTATATTTTCAGTGCGTATGTAGCGTAAATTTTCGAAAGTACTACAAGCTAGAATTATTCTAGAATAGAATAAACGAAAACCTCCATACAGTAGCATGAAAACCTATAAAAGCATTCTTAAAATACTAGTAAAAATTATATAAAATAGAAAAATCATTAAAATTATACCCTATCGTTTGTTCTAATAATATGCCCCAACAAATTCTCACATTATTAAGAATTTCTAAAATACTCTTTCTATATTTTTTTATTGTACAATTGAAGAGCATTATGAGAATTTTTATTTGAATCATCTATCTCTCATTGTATTAAATAAGAATAATTAATTTTAATAAATTTTGAGATATAAAGCAATTAATTAAGATATAATTAATAATTTATATATATGTATATTTATTATAAATAGCTGAGTATATATAGATATATCTCCAATATGCATATTCTTCAGACAACTTAAGAGGTACATTTTGTTTTTTTTTGTTAATTAATACTTTAGAAATAATTAATAATTAATAAATATTTTTACTAATTTTAAATTGATTTTCTTATTAATTTTTCATTTTATTAATTATAAGCTAAAATATTTGGAACAAAAATCATATAAGCCAAAATATTTTAGATAATTATATATTGTATACATTAAAATATATTTAAATAATTAATTAAATTAAAATAAATAACAATATATATATATATATAAAATTGAAAATTAATTATTATTATATACTTATATATTGTGTTATATGCATCTTATATATATATATGAATATATATATAATAATTTTAGAGACAAGCAGAGAGTGATTTTGTTTTATTTTTTCCATAATAATATTTCATTATTAAAAATCACATAAAATTTTTTAATGAAATATTAAAAAATTATATTTTTTAAATAAATGTTTTTGGGTAATTAATAAGTTTATATTTGTTTATTTTTATAAATGAAAATTATGTGAAAACCGTGAAATTTTATTTTGATTTTCATAAATGGTATTTGGTATTTTTATAAATAATAATAATATTATTATTTTAATATATTTATTTTGTTTTGTTTAATTCCTTATGATTTTTGTTTTCTATATAATACATAATTAATTATTAATATTATTTTATAATTCAGTTTATTTGTTTTTTTCTTTATAAATTTATTGTAAAGTTATAATAATTAATAATAAGATGTAATATAGCAATTTATAGGCAACTTTTTTTTTTATTATAAAATATATAATTATGTAATGTGTATATTTTATAATTTATTTAAATATATATACTTAATTAGTATAAATTTATAATATACATATATATACGAATATATTATTTATTTAATTTTTTATTTAATTTTTGCTTATATTCTTATAATAATATGTTTTTGATCCTTTTTTTTTGTTTTGCATTTATTTTTCATATTTAAAAGTAAAAAATTATGCATTGCTAAGAAATTAGAAATTTTAAGAAATTCAACTTTAAATTTGCTTCAATAATTAAATTTAATTCAATAAATTTTTTTATTTATGAAACGAAAAAAATTTAATTGAAATTTTTATAAATTTTCCGGAATAATTCAAATTTTTTTTCTTTAAAAATATGTACCTAAATTGATTCAGGCTTTACTTAAAAGTTTTTTTTTCTTTAAAAAATTATAAATTGCAATAATTTTGTGTTAAATATTAAATAGACCCTTAAATTTTACATAAAGTTATTTCAAGTTTTGTAAAAATTATAATAAAAATTGAAAAAAAATAAATTGTTTTATTTAACTGTATTAATTTTAAATCCCGTTATTTAATTAATTATTAATTTTCATATAAGTACAATTAATAATAAATTGTCATTATAAAAAGCTAAATTAATTAATTTTAAATGAATAAAATTGGTATGTATAAATTCGATGGTAAAATGCAAAGATATGCTAAGTAGGAAATTTAAAATTTTACAGCGGAGCGATTTTGAGAGTTTCCAAATTTCAAAATTCGAAATTAGAATAAAGCTATATAATTTTTTCTAATTAAATTACTAAAAATTAGTTGTTGATTTTAAATAAGTGTTTTTTAATAACAATTTTAGTTTTTGTACAAAAGATGGTGTATTTTGGGCATAAAATATGACTAAATGTATTAAAATTGCTTATACTAACTGATGTACTTAGAATATTTGGGTTTCATCATTTATATCAGCGTACAATAAAAACATTCTAAGAAAATACTTAGTTCTTTTTTTTTAATATTTCGACCTTTCACTTAACCAATTTCAACCACACCGATCTCACAAAGTAATAAAATCTATACAACAAAAAGAAGACCGTTCAAAATTAGTACGAGTATTGGTGTAAAAAAAAAAAACAATTTGAAAAATTTGTAACTTAGCATATCTTTGCACTTTGTCATCGTTATATAGGTGAGCAGAATTTTTTAGCTGGTAAACTAAAGTTTGAATATAACTGTTTAAATTTATTGAAATAAATAATTAAATATAAAAAAAATTTAATTTTTTTTTTTTATATTTTCGTTTCGAAATTTGAAAATATTTTTAATTATTATTTTTAATGAACAGGACTATCAAAATGCCCTAAAATTTAAATTTTAATTCTTGGGGGGGGGGGTATTACATTAGAGTTTTGTGAATTATTAACAAGTTTTTATGAAGTATTTAAACCCTACCTATTAAGAAAATATTAAAATTAAAATTATACAATATTAGTAATATTTCAAAATATTTAAATAAAAGATTATTGCACGCGATTTTCACAAAAATTAATTTATCTCAACATTTTATTGGAAACAATATTGAAATTCTTGATTTTTAAGTTATTTTAAAATTTAATTATATTACTATATTTTATTCATTTTGTTGATATTACAATATTCATTTTGTTATTAGCAATTTAAAGTTGAAAAAGTACAAAAAAAAAAAACTTGCATGTTGAAAATTTAATAAAAATTATTTTAAATTAAAAAAAGATTATGGAGCAAATTAAATTGATTTAATTAATAAAAATAAAAATGTTGTACAATATACAAGGGTATACAAATTCATACAAAATAAATAATCAATATTAATAATTTAGATTTATGTACATATATATAAAATAAATTTATATATTTGAAATTCAATATTAATTTTAAGTGAAAGCTAATGAAATATTGGGGAAAGAAACTAAAACTTTTTGGCTAAAGTACTTAGTTATAATAATATTATTTAAAGGAAATGAATGGGAAAAAATATTTTTTCATATTCAATTTTGAAAAATATATTTTTTTTATATTTAATTTCATAAACATTGCCAAAAACCTTTAGAATTCTAAAATACTCTTAGATTATAATAAATCATTTAAGCTGCAAAATTATTCAGAATTATTTTATTAAAAATAACAAGAAATTATAAAAATACTAATAAAAATTTTATATTGGAATGATAGAAAGATGGAGAAACCAGAACAATATATAAGAACATGGTTTGTATTGTATATTAAAATAAATATATTCTAAAAAAACAAAAAAAAAATAATTTTCTTTTAGTTTGATTACGAAAACTGTAAATTTATAATTTTTACAGTCACCGGAAGTGATCCGCTTTAATGGAAGACAATTTCTAATAAATTTTACTAACACGATTTGAAAATTTTAAGTTCATTGCAAAGAAAAAGGGAAAAAAAAATTAAATGAAAATATATATATATATATATATATATATATAAATATTTATAAATGCACAAATAAAAATATTTGTTTTTTAAATATTTAAATTTAATTTTTATTAATAAACCAATCAAATTATAAACTATTTAAACAATACTTTTAATTAATATTGTATAGAGATGAATTAAGCTAAACAAATTTTTTTTTTTGTTTTGAAATATATTTTAATTATGAGAAAAAAAACATATTTTACAATCATAGATTTTTATAAAAAATATAAAATGTAATTATAATTTTAATGCAAAATAAAATATTGCATTTAGAAAATTTATTATTTAATTATTTTTTGAGATATATTGTAAAATCATATACATATATAATAATTAAACAGCAAATCAATTGAGACAAAGTTATAATATTAAAATAAATATAATTAAAAAAAAATATTTTTTCTAAAAAAAAATAAAAAAAAGAGCATAACATAAATTATTAACAAAATGGACAAGTATTTGAAAAAAGTAAAATTTATTACTTGTACATTTTAATAAAAAATAAAAATAATGAATATAAAATCATTAATTATGCAAATTATAATAAAATGAATTGAATAATTTTATTCTAAGCTTGTTTATTAATTATATTCACAATTTAAATTAGCTTAATTCAATTATATATAATATAGATGAAATTAAATTATATATGAATAACAGGAATATGCAAATTGATTATAAATTTTTCTCTTTTACTAATACTCTAGAAAAATAATTTTAATATTACTACATATTTTTTTTTTATATTGAATTAATTATATTGTTAAAGAGTATTCAATTTATATTGTTAATTAAATTTCAGTTTATTTTTTTTTTTTCAATTTTTTGTTTTTAATATAAATTCGTAATTTAACAAATTTTTTTGCAGATTTTTATAGCCATTTTTTTTTTTGTTTTTTTCTTTTTTAATTAAATTTTATATTCCTTTTTATTTTATATTTATTATAGTTTAACTAGTTTTTATATTTATTTTTAGTTTTTTATTCTTTTGGTATCAGTTCAGTTTAGGCAAAGTATAGATACTATAAAATTATTGGATCTATATATAAGTGTTCATTAACTTTTGTAACTTAGAATTTATAAGTTATATTTGAAAACATAATTTTATTGTTTATATTTTAATAAGTCGATTAATATGAACAAAATAGTTGGAAGTTAAAAAAATAAAATTATAACAAATAAAATGCTAGCAAATTAATAAATATATTTTAATTTTGTTTTATCGTTAAGGTTAATATTTAGCACCAATAGCATTTTTAATCATGATGTTTTTTTTTTTTTTGTTTTTTTGTGGAACTTAAAATGAAATGGTAATGGAGCTTGAATGATTGACGATAGTCTTTTAAATAGGTTAATAAGTTTGTGTCAGTTAACTATTAAAAATCTAAAGAATTTTCATTATTTTATTTTTCATATAGTGTACAAAATATAGTTAAAAAATTAATTATCGTTTTAATAAATACTTACTAACTACACGTTTCTTTTATTCAAATTCGGTTCTGTAAATTAAATTTGATAGTAGGTAATGCAAGAAAAAATTTCATTGGATTATTGACTTAGAAATTTAAAATATTGTTTTTACAAAATTTTATTTATAAGAAAATGGAGATAAAACCCATTAAAAAGTTGAAAATATTACAAGAAATATTTTTTGATTTCACAAATTTCAAATAGGAAATTTTATATTTTTATAATATATTCAATAAAAAAAATAAACTTTAAAAAAATATATGTTTTCAGCTTTCATTTCTTTTCAATATTTTTGAAAATTTTTATTTTGTACACGATCTGGACAGAATAAAATAAACTTTAAATTGAAAAAAAAATACATTTTCAAAACAAATTACATTTTCTTATTTAATTCTAAAACAAACTTCTTTACAAACACTTATATTAAGTGGAGTGTAAACAATATATTTAAATATGTGAGAAATATATTGAAATAATATATTGTGTTAAAAAATGAATTATACAATTTATTGATTATGAGAATGAAATAAAGTTGCCCCTAAAATTTGAGTTTTGCAATAACTAAATTCAAAATTTTTATATATTGTAATCTCATGCATAAAAATTTAAAATTGGAAGTTTCGCTAAAATTTTTAAAATAAAATTAAAAACATAAAATATAATGGTTAATTTAAGTTAATATATATTTATCATAAAAAAAAAACTTATATTTAAAAAAAAAAAAATAAAATCAATATTTAAATAATCTTATTTTAAATACAATAAATTTCTTAATTTATTTTATTACTCATCACTGCCATTTCTACAGTCGGAATTTATATCATTTGTGCTATCGTTCTTATTTAAATTTTTCCTTGCATAAAATAATAAATATGGTGTAATCATAATTTTACGATTTGGTGATAATAATTCTTCAAATTCTCTTTGTGTCATAGCTTTAATTTTGTCATCATCGCACATATACCATATTGGTTCGTTTTGATGTTGATGTTGCTGCCGATGATGATAATTTCGACTTCTAAAAATATAAAAAATAATATATAGATATATATTTTATTTATTGCAAATTTTTTAATTGTTTAATAACATACCCATTCATGGAACCGTAACCACTATTATGACCTGAATTTATATTTGAATTAGCATTTGTATTAATGTCATCAATTAAATCAACATATGATCCATTTAAATTTGATGCTGATGATACTGATGAAGAATTTATTGAACCAATTCCACTACTAGCGCCTAGATTATTTAAGGAATTTGAAGAATAATTTAAATTATTTTGTCGCAATTTAATTCCACAACAATTAAGTCCCTGACATAATGTGGGACCCATTTTTAATTTTTCAACACCATTAGTAATATCTTTGGTACTTGATGAAATACCGTTTAAATTTTTCATATTTTTTGTCATATCACCACTACTTGACGCTTTACTACGTCCATAAATTAATTTTTTTACAATTCCCATGTTTTTTTCGTTTCCACTACTACTACTTCCATTGCTTAAATTTATGTGAGAATTATTTGTATTACTAGAAAATGAAGTTTTATTAGATGAGCTTAAATTTTGCAGTTTGTTCTGTTGCTGTTGTTGTTGCTGAAATTGTTGTGTTTGTTGTTGTCGCCTTCGATCTTTCGGACAATTTATGTATTCATTTGACCAATCTAAAGAGCATGTATATGCTATATAGTGTCCTACAGACATTGTTGCACCAACATGTGTAATAACACTGTATAATTTATATATATGTAATTTATCTTCATCATTGGCTTTACAACATTGCGAACAAAAGCACTGTAACGTAAACGGGGTTGGTAAATAACTGTTTATTTTTTCCATGCCACCAGAAAATCGACTCAATTGAATAATTAATAACCTTGGTAACACTTCATAGGATATTGAACGTATTGCTTCAGTATAACCAGTACATTGTTCACAACGATATTTATTTTCTCCTCGAAAATATTCTCGTGTAATACATGAGTTCTGAAATTTTAGAGAAATTATATATATAAAATGTATATTATAATGCGAAATTTTTAATTTTGATAACATTATGTTTTCTCCTTACCTGTATAAAAGATCCTGAGCAGTCCGCATTTTCATAACCTGAAATAGGAACTGCAATATCTATCATTGTTTCTTTTTGTTCGGTAATGGTTTCACAACTTAAGCATTTTGTTGTAGAAACCGTTATTCCCTCAAAATATTGACTGAAGAAATCTAATCCTAATTTCTTAATTTTTTCAGCTAAATGTTCTTTGTTATCTTTTTGGCTGATTGCTCCTGGTGCTGTGGAAATGTTTTTACCACTATTGCCAGTATTGCTAATATCATTTTCCAATATACTAGTACCTAGTAAGTTACTAGGAAACGCCGAATTACTGTTACTCGCATCAGTTGAATCTAATGATGCAGAAAAATTAGATGAAGACGAATTATCTTTTGATTCTTTAGATTGCGTTTTAATATTTTTAGAATTTTTAGCCTCATCTTTTCTTTTTGATTTTCTCGAAAAAAATGATGTTTTCATTAAGTTAGTTGTGTTGCTTACGTTATTAATTTGTTGTAATGGCTCTTTTGGTAAAACAACTACATTAGATTGTGTTGTAACACTGGTTGATGTTTTGTTTTCATTACCTTGCTCTGGAATTCCGACGTAACCATTTGATATTACATCAGGATATTCAGTAATAGCTTTTGTTAGAGATTGACACGTTTCCCTAATATTATCTAAAACACACATTAAAAATTCATGCGCATCTTGTTGTTGATTGCCTTCAAATATTGCACTAACATCCTGGATAGCGTGAAGGAATGTATCTGCATGGAATGGCTCTGTTGAATCATTCATTTCATTACGATGTAAATGCTGGTATAATTCATGTAATTTTTCCGTTGCAATTTGTTGACTGGATTTTTGATTATCACAAGCGCTTGCTGGATTATTTCCACCAAAATTTCCAATACCCCCTAAACCTATTCCGCCAATACCACTATTGCCAGTTAAAATACTATTAGATTCTAGTGACGCTAAATCCTTACTACTCCAGCTACGTGCGTTTTCAATATGTAAACCAGATACATTTCGTCCAAGTGATGAACTTTTAGCTCGATATTTTACAATATTTTGATTAACGTTTGATAAATCATCGACTAAATGATGTAAATTATGTAGAAACAAAGGGGCAAATCTTAACGTGTACACTACCGAATTTAAATAACAAGTGTTTCCAATATTACATAAAGTTGCTATTGTAGTTGGTTGTTGTTGTGGCAATTGGCCATTTAAATTAGATGAACTGGAATAATATTGGTTGTTACTAGAATTATCTTCGTTTGAAATACGAGATAGTAAACCATTACTAATGTTCGTTCTTTCACCAATATTATCCATGCCAAATACTGTTGATCGACGGTCGTATACGGACATATCTTTAAAATTTTTTTTACAATTATCGTTTTCAAGATTCAAATTGTTTTCTTTTAAACGTTTTGAGTTTCGAACTGAATCAGATAAAGACGCCGATCTCTTTAATTTTGTTAAACTGAGCGATGGTTTTTTTCCTAAATAATTTTCTTTATGCTCTTGGATATTTTCGTTTTCCGAATTTTCTCTTTCAATTAAAAATTTATTATTTTGTATATTTTCTCCAGTTAAATGTTCTTCAAAATTATCTTTTAAAACACCTTTTTTATGAACAATATTTTTATTTAAGTGATGCAAAATTTCTTTATTTTTTAAAATATTTCTTTTAGAATTTAGATTTTGTGATACTTCTTCTAAAAGTTCTGCATTCTCTTTGTTTTTTGTTTCAACACTAACATCATCTAATGAATTAAAATATTCTGTTTTGTTATTAACTTCTGAATTTTTAGATATTATTTTTAATAAATTTTGATAATGCTGCACTCGACTTTGAAAAGTCGATTTGTTGTGAAGAGTACAATTTGTTTTTAAGCTATCAAAATTTCTTTTAGTTTGATCGTCAGATATCTCAAAATTTTGCGTTGCGTTTTTCTCGCATTGGTTTGTTGATAATGATGAATATTCTGAATCCTTTTTATCACGTTTATACGATATTTGCAAGGACTTTGATGGTGCTTTCTTAATTATAATATCATCGGAAATAACACATTTCTTTTTGTTGTCCTCTGCGTCTAAAATAAAAAGAAGGTACAAATTTTTAATTTATAGCTTCTTTTCGTTATTATTTTCAATATTACGAGAAATAAAAAAAAAATTCTGGCCTTGAAGCTTATTGGATAGGTGTTTTTATAAAAAAAATATGGTTAGAATAAGTTATTCAGTCTAAGAAACAATAACTTCATTTTAAGTATCCTTACAAATACAAAATTTTTCCATTTTTACAACAAATTTTAAACTTAAGTTTGAGTTTGAACTTTTACAAAGAAATTTTACTCGTACATCTAATGGCAAATTTTATTAGTTATTATAGTAAGCACTATTGTTTTATACCAATTATTAACTATAGCAAATGAGGAAAATACAAAATATTTTAGATAAGTTAATTGATAAAATACAATCTGTTATCAAATTTGATAGTGAAAAGAATTAGGTATGAAAGTTTTTAAGTCTTTTTCAAAATTTATATGAGCTCTCATTTATTGATTGAAAAATTTAGTTCATAGAAAATTGACAATAGAAATTTTTTTTTGTTTTGCTAAACTGAATCATTCAATTTTTTGTTGTTGTTCGAAAACAGCGTTTTCTTTTCTAATATTAGCTGATAGATATAAGAAAAACTTATAGAAGAAATTTTTTATGAGAACTTCAACAAAAATTTCCAAAGAAAATATTTTCTTTAAGCAAGACCAGTTAAAATTTTTTCTAACTTTACATAACATTATTATTAATTTAATTTAAAAGATTGTTAAATTCTTTTTAATAAATTGAAATAAATTTTCATTATTTAATTATTGAAAGAAATATCAAAAAAATTTTATACTACTATTTTCTTTTGCTGCATCAGATTTTTCTGCTGGATCCACCAAACTATTAATTTTTTTATTAAAACTAGTATTGCTAGTATTGTCGAGTGATTTGATGTTTTTTATATTATCGTTTTTTCCGAGTCGCAATTTTTTTTTCTTTGATTTTAAAAATCCATCTGTTTTTATTAGAAATGATGAATTACCAAGACATTTTCTTTTATTTCCAATTCTTATTTTAATATCCCTAGTTCTTAAATCATTTTCATGTATTTTGCCCAAAGTTTGGTTTCCTTTTAAATTCTTATTTTGGTTTAAATCAATTACATCTTCATTATGATCTGTTGGAAGACATTCATCCTCATCATCTGAATCAATTGACGATGTGCGCATTTTTTGGTGACCTTAAATAAAAAAAAAAAAATTAAATAGATAGATAAAAAATGAATTAGGTTTTATCTTAATTTATTAAATTTCTTTTTGTTTTGTATCCTTCTAATTAAGATTTATTGATTTCTGTACTAAATTGAAGGTCACATAATTTTATTAATGAAATAATAATTTTGCATTATGAGAACATTAAAAATTTTTTTGCGAAAGCTCAAGAGAATCTCATTTAAAAATATAAAAAAAAAACAAGAAAAAAAAGTAAATTTAATATCTTTAGCATGCATATACGTATATGATACATATATTTAAGGTTTTTAATAACACTTTCTAGAAAACTATCATAAAAAAATTGGTCTAAGATTTTATCGTAATTGTTTAGTCTGGGTTGACAAAAATAGTTTTTTAAATAGTTAAGAATTTGTTTTTTCAAACTTACATGTTCTTTTTAAATGGCATAACTTATATAAAATAAATTTATACTTTTACTGAGAAAATATATATTTACACATATACACAAATGTATTTATAAAATAATTTTCACTTGAATTTTACTAAACACGCACACAAATTATGAAAAGAAAGTTTTCTCGACGTTTGTTTTGTTTTTAGTTTTTCTTGTTTAAAACTTGATTTGTAAAGAAATTTTCATTAAATGTTTATATTTTAAAAGAATTTATTTCCAAATTTTCAGTTTTTTTCACGACACATTAAATTTTACTATTAAATCCAATTGCAAAAACTAAATTACTCCGGTTTTTGGACTATCTTTTCGGACGACCATTTTTTTTCTTTGACAGCTGTCATTGTCGACATAAAGTTCATCTGGCAGCAAATCAAAACATTATAAATTTTCGAGACTTGGTTTTGATTGTCACTATCGATATAAGTGTAGCCGTTGTTTGTTTAATAAACGCTAATATTGTTCGAGTGAAAATTTTTGAGTGTAAATCTTTAATTTTTTTTTCTAATTAATCAACAAATCAACCCCTGGGATAATACAACAAATGTTTAAACTTTAAAGTCGAATTTGGCGTAAAATAAAAAACATGCATTAAAAGTAATACTTATGATTTATTTTGGCCAAATTATTTAATATTTTCCTAATAGCTATAGTAACAGAATGTGGAATTAACAGTAAATCTAATTTATAATTCTGTCATTAAGGTGTGTACATCAATTAACTAACCAAAATAAAAAATATCCATTTTATGAAAATTTCAGTGGCAAAGAGCTTTTTCTATGTGGAAGAAACAAAAGCTTTTTTAATGAAAAACATAGCATGGCTTCATGTACTTTTCAGATTTGGGTGTTTATCTCTGCTACAGTTGTGGAAAAAACCTATCTGTATGGAATTCATTTATTTTTTTTGGGCATTTGTGATTTTAACGAAATTGCAGGATCTGATTAAATTCAAAGAAATAATAAAGACGAATAAAAAATTTTTAATAAGTAAATTATTTGTGATATTTACGTGATTTTTAATGTTTTTTACGGCCTAATTATTCTTAACGTTACGTATTTTATAAAAATGCGGTAAATGTATTTTAAACTCTGTACTTTAACAGTGAATGTGCATAAAAATTTAATAATATTGTAATTTTTTTATTAAATTGGATAAATATTAGTTATAATTATTGAGAATTATTGCTAAAGTGAATTTTTGATATGCGCATACCTACCTAAACGGCTAGCAGAAATAGTCTTGAACCCTAAAAGAGGAAAAATATTTTTATGGAAGCTATGTATTTGTTATATCGAGGTATGTACGCACAAATTACTCTTAAATAGTTTTTATTTATTGATTTCAGGCAAGGAATTCATTCTAAATTCACAATGCAAAAGCAACGCAAGTCCATAAATGAGCTATACTCGTATATAACAAGTATACTTTTAGTAGCTATATACATACATATATGATGTTACAATGCAGCGTTAAGGCAATCCACAAGTTAACTCACGTTTAATTATAGCTTTGCATAAAACTGTTAATATTTAGTATGTAATTAGAAAAACAACAAAAAATCAAACATATTTGTATATTGGCACACACAGTTATTCAACTTTTTAGATTTTTAGAGGTAGTTAACGTGGATTTGCATTGTGAGCGTCTGTTCTACATTTTAGTTACTCACGAGCAAATTATTTATTGTATGTATGTATGTACATATAAACTAAAAATTTTTAAAGTGATATAGCAAAAAGTAAACAGTAGTGTGTATGTAAACAAGTGTCAAAAATTTTTCTCAAAATCTTTTCAAATTTAAATAGTTTAAATATCAAAATTTTTTTTTTAATTATAAATTAAATAAAATGATTATTGCCGATATATTTTATTTGCTTTCTTATCTTATAACTACCTACATTAATATAACTTTTTGGATTTTGTGGAAAATTTTTCAGTATCCGTGTTTCTTTTTATTAATATCTGGAATTGTTTTAATTATAATTTGTTTAATGGTAAGTAATGAAAAGTCATTGAACCTAAATTCTTTTTTCTATTTCTAATTTTTTGTTTATAAAAAGGATCAAGGAAATTACGAAACTTCCAATATTGAAAATCCTGAAATAAATATTGAAAATGCAGAAAAGTTGATCTTAGAATATAATTTATCAAATTTCAGAGAGGATTAAAATAGGTGATATTATTTGCACCAATGCTCAGCCTTTTAAGAATTTTTTTGGTTAATAAATATTGTTGTATTTTTGCCATATCTTAAAATAATTTAATAATATAAAAAAAATTAATATTTGAGATATTGATTATAATATTTGATATTTTGGTAATTTGTTATTTCTTGTAACACAAAAGAACTAGTTCACTATAGAACGCGTAACTAATTAAAATAATTAATTAAACATAAAATAATATGAAGAAAAAGCAAAACTTATGTTCAATATTTATTTAAAAACATTCATAGCAGAGCTGACTAGCTTCTTTGATCTATTTCTTTTTTTCCCTACGTATTCTTAAGATCTGTATCATTAATATTTATTAAATTAAGAATATTTAAAATATTTACTCAGGTAAACCACCATTATTTTTTTACTACATTTATTTAAAATCTTTAAATCAGTGTTTGGCACATGGATATTATATCTGATGTCATGCTCCAAATACATCTCTGCGTCAAATGTAATTTTTATATTTGTTGCGTTTCTGTAAATATGATACAGAATCGGAACTCTATTCTATACAAGAATACAATGTTATATAGCATTATTTATTAAAAAATTCGTAAAATTTGTATTTGGAACAAGTCAAATCTCAACAGGTTCCGAGATGCTAGGATTTTAAAGCAAGATGTTATTTGATAACATATATTTTATGTACTTTCGGAATACCAGGAATTCGAACTCTAGAAAAATTATTAATTTTTTCCATATTGTGTTTTTCTTAGTTTTTATTATCCCGACAATTTCTGTGTGACATCCTTGGCGAATGAAACCAAAAATTAAAATAATACATAAGTGTTTTAATGATATAATGGAAAAATCTGAACTTTGTAAAGTAAGCTCATAAAATTCTACAAATTATTGTAAAAAATATTGATTGTTTAATATTAATTACAGCGTGAAACAAAACGAACCAAAAACAATTCGAGCATTTAATAAAATTTAATGGAGAACAACTCCGACATTGCTAAAGGGATAGGAAAATTCAATTGTTTTTGCAAAAAAGCAAAAATATTGTACATATGTGTGGTGTTAACCTTATTATTTTCGGTAGGTTTTCTGGTGTCTTGCGGTATCAACATTTTGGATCTGGCGGATGAAAAGCATTCGCCGATCATAATTTAAAATATCATTCGATTCGCCTTGTCCATTCGACTCGCCTAACCATTCGCTTCGCCGATCATAATAAGTTTGTTAAGCTTAAGAAAGTAGCTACAATTCCTATGCCTAAAATTTTAGTGTTTTTCGTTTTTTATAAATTATACATATTTATGCAACTTCTTAAAACTTTCTGAAAAGTGTACCTGCATGACACGCTTCTATTCAACTTTAAAGTTTTCAAAAAAACATTTTTAAAATTGCGTAAAATAAAAATAAAAATTTAGAAATACTTGTTATTGATGTCTGTGAACATACATACATACATTATATGTAATACATAATTATAAATAAAAATAGTTAATCAAATTTGTAACAATTACGAATAAATTTATGACAATTACTGAGTTTCAATGTTAATTAACATTAAAATGCGAATTTTTATTGAAAAATATTTATGATTACAAAAAAAAAATTTAATAAAAACATGCAATTTCAATTAACATCCCTGTACTATTAAACTTTTACTTAATTACGAGTATTAAGGTTTTTAGTTAAATAGGGCCAGTAAAATTTAAAAATAATTTGACAATTGACTAGAATTGACTAGAAAAAAAGTTATGTGTTTCAATGTAAAAAAATGAGGCCCTAATATAAATTTAAAGGTTGTCCTTTTGTTTTTTCAAAATATATGAAAAATATGAAATTCTTTAGGTCTTACAAATAAAAGAAGCAAATCTGTAAAACCTTATCTTTGAGCAAAAATTTTTTTTGATCTAATTAATGATTGATTTATTTTAAATTTGATTTTTTTAATTTGTTTTTTTTTTTATTTGTAACAAGGCTTTAATTAACATCTTTTTAAATGCTTCACAATTTAATTTAAACAAATATATTTTTCGTATAATTTAACGCCTTGTTGTTCTTTTAAAACATACGTAACGTTTGTGAAACCTTGAAATTCAATGAACAATGTGAAATGGCAAATGAATTGGTTTTTTAAAAAGGGCCTGAATAATATTTAATTCTTTTTTCGCTGCATGATTGATGTCTAATTACTTGAACATGAAAGATATTTAAGATTTTCAGGTATGGACAGTGTTTAATTATTTTAAGAATTAGTACATATATACATACATGCACATAGAATTAAATCTAAATACCTTAAGATTATGATGTAATGGATTGATGTGTAAAGATAAGTTTTTGTTTAAGAAGAAATGGTTAATTTTATGCTTCATACTAAACGCTCGTATTTGCTTCTGTTCGAAATTGTAGTTGTCATAAAAAAGAAACTTCAGTTTTTAGCAGTTTTCCAAAAAAATTTTGAAAAAAAGTATTTATCAGTTTCACTATACCTGTCCGTCTATCGCTCCGTCGATCCGTTTACATAAATTTGAATTTTAAAAGAATAAGAGAGGAAAAAAAGAATTTTGTTAGTAATGCAAGTAAACGTCTATAAGTTTTTTTCTTCTAATTTTTCGTAATAATTTATAAAGAATTATTTTAAAAGTGGAAGCCCTTTGTATAAATGAGAATTTTACTGTAGCATGACTGACTTACCTGTCAGTAAGCAAACTCTTTCGTTAAAAAAAAATTTATAAAAAAATTAATAAGTAAAGAATAATTTATTGTAAATTTGCGAAACTTTTTTTTTTATTTGAACAAGTAGACCTCGAGTCGAGTTTTCAGTAAGAACGCGCTTCTCCATAGTAGGGAAGCTAAGTAAATAAACTACATTTAGAGAAATGTCGGTGTGTCTGTGTATATCCCAAGTTCGGCTGAATCAATTTTATGAAATTTTATATGTGATTTTATTTTGGCTATGTCACTAATTGATCAACTTTTTTGGTATATTAGATCTCAGGAGCAGCACTCTTTTACGGGTAAATTTTACATTTTTGCGTATGTAAAGAGAAATAATCAACCAATTTTATTGAAATTTAATATTAAAATTCGGGGTGTTAAAACAATGAGTCTATAAATTTTATGGAATGATC